AACCGATGATGACACAGAAGCGCTTTTTCGCCATTGGCCAGGTCATTGTTCTCCCGCCCCCTCAAAACCATCCCTGCGGGTGCCGCCTCGACGCACCTTAGTCCGCAGCCGGCTCGCGAGGAAAGCGCCTGGGAGTACGCAGGCGCGGTTTCAGCCGCAATTTTTCCCGCCCGGGGAGGTGGGTGGCGGTGGTGAGCAACTGCTAGTGACTGATAATCTGATAGAAACATTATTTTCAAGAAAATTATAGTTTCATGATTTGTGCTAGGATCTTTTCAAGTACTGATCTGTGATTGTCGAGACAAAAGTATTGTTTTATCTCAAAGCTTTTGAATTTTCTAGACATTTGTGTAGGGATTGCATGAATGGATGTCGTTTGTTTATTGTCATAGACAAAAGTTGTATACAGTGCACAATGCAGCAAGACATAGGAATGACAATGTTTAAACTTTAAAATAAATAGCTAAATGCCTTCGAATCTGAAAATGACCTTTCAACTCCTGTTGAAAACTGATTTTCCTTATAGTTACCAGTACTAAATCAAATGTTTCAATCTTTTTAGCGACTTCTGAGGAATTATGTGCTAAGAGAAATAGTACGTTATCTTTCATAATTAATCAGGGCAATTGAATTAACTCCAAATTTTATAAGCATAAATCTGTGCGCAACCTTGAAAAGATCTCCTTGAATAGTACATTTTAATGAGACAGAAGAGGAAGTGCGTGAATGGGAAGAAATCATGGCACCTTGATTTAATTAATCTAACTTAACTATGATTCAGTTAATTTTGGCAACTGAATGAAATCAAAGTAACATTTAGCCTTTGCTTCACTTCCTCAGCCCAAAGAAAACTATTCTACTTTGAGTTTCCTCCATGCAAGTTTCATGAAGCAGGGGTGAAATCCAGCAGATTCTGACAGGTCCTTGAGAACCGGTAGCAGAAATTTTGGGTAGTTTGGAAAACTGGCAAATACTACCTCTGGCTGGCCCCAGAGTAGGGTGGGAATGGAGATTTTGCAATATCCTTCCCCCAGGAATGGGAAGGGGATGGGGATTTTGCAGTATCCTTCCCCTGCCATGCCCACCAAGCCATGCCCACAGAACCGGTAGTAAAAAAATTTGGATTTCACCACTGTCATGAAGTGAAAAATAAGGTGCCCGTTGATATTGAAGTATTTTCTTGTTGTCCAGATTCTTTTCTGCCTTTCAAGCCGGAACACTTTCAGATCTTGTGCAATTATATGGTTATTCTATTGTGAATCCTTTTATGGGCTGTAAGGTGTCTGTTCTGACTAAAGCTCTTTCCTCACTCTGTACATCTATATGGTTTTTCTCCTGTATGTATTCTTTTATGCTTCATAAGACTGGTGCTCTCACGGAACTTCTTTCCACAAATCATACATATATAAGGTTTTTCCCCCATGTGGATTCTTAGATGAGAAGTAAGAGTACTGTTCATACTAAAGCTCTTTTCACAAACAGGACATTTATATGGTTTCTCCCCTGTGTGGACCCTTTGATGGGAAGTAAGAGTGCTGTTTGTACTAAAGCTCTTTCCACAAACTAAACATTTAAATGGTTTCTCTCCTGTGTGTGTTCTTTGATGGGAAATAAGAGTGCTGTTCATGCTAAAGCTCTTTCCACAAACTGGGCATTTGTATGGTTTCTCCCCAGTATGCATTCTCTGATGAGAAGAAAGATCTCAGCTCTGAATGAAGCTCTTTCCACACTCTCCACACTTATATGGCTTCTCCCCTGTGTGGATCTTTTGATGGCAAGTAAGATTGCTGCTCCTACTGAAATTCTTTCCACACTCTGAGCATTCATACGGTTTCTCCCCTGTATGAATCCTTCGATGTGAAGTTAGTTCTCCTTTCTGAATAAAGCTTTTTCCACACTCCGAGCATTGGAATGGTTTTTCCCCTGTGTGGATTCTTTTATGTTGTATAAAATTACTGTTTCGACTGAAGCTCTTTCCGCAGTCCATAGTTATATGGTTTCTCCCCTGTATGAAATCTTTTATGTTGTATAAAGCTACTGTTCTGACTAAAGGTCTTTCCACACTCGGTGCATTTATATGGTTTCTCCCCAGAGTGGATCCTTCGATGGGAAGTAAGTTCTCCTTTCTGAATAAAACTCTTTCCACACTCTGTGCACTGATATGGTTTCTCTCCTGTGTGGATTCTTTTGTGTTTCATAAAGCTACTTCTCTCACAAAACCTTTTCCCACACGCCACACATATGTATGGTTTCTCCCCTGTGTGGATCCTTTGATGGGATGTAAGCGTACTTTTCAGTCTAAAGTTCTTCCCACACTCCATGCACTGATACGGTTTCTCCCCTATGTGGATCCTTTTGTGGTAAGTAAGGAGACTTTTTCTGCTGAAACTCTTGTCACATTCTGGACACTTAAACGGTTTCTCTCCTGTGTGAATTCTTCTGTGCTGTATAAAACTACTGTTCTGACTAAAACTCTTTCCGCACTCTGTGCATTCGTATGGTTTTTCTCCAGTGTGGATCCTTTTATGAGAAATGAGATAGCTGCTGCTACTAAGACTCTTTCCACACTCAAAACATTGGTATGGTTTCACTCCAGTGTGGATCCTTCTATGGGGAATGAGATAGCTACTGCTGCTGAAGCACTTTCCACATTCAAAGCATTTGTAAGGTTTCTCCTGTGTGGATCCTTTTATGGCAAACAAGATTACTGCTGCTACTGAACCTCTTTCCACACTTATTTATATGGTTTCTCTCCTGTGCGGCTTCTGTCACAGGAAGTAAGATGCCTACTCAAACTGAAATTCTTTCCACGTTTTAAAAGTGTGTATGGTTTCTGTTTTGCATGTAGTTTTTGATGTAAAATTACAGGAAAGAAATTTTTCATATTTTTCACATGCGGTCTCTGGTTGTATTGGTTCTCTTTAGTTCGAGTTCTAAAATGTTCATTTAAATCAAATTTAGGTTTGTCTCTTTTGCCATATCCTGGATATTTTCCCTTTCTGTTTTCTTTCTGATCTTGATGGGTTAGGAAGCCATGGATTTCAGCATCCGTAAAAGTAGAGGACTTTTCCCCTCCTTGCTTTGAGTAGCTTCTCTCTTGCCTTTTTGGCTCCCCTTGATTTCCAAGCATCACTTCTTCCACTTCATGGTTGATAGTTTGCAACTGCAAAACATCTGACTCGTTGTAAATCTCATTCTCTTGTCTGTCACCTATTGGAAAGAATGGAAAAGTCCAAGTACAAATGTAAGCAGAAAGTGAGGTTGTCAACAGGTATAATAAAATAACTACATCTAGTATGTCAAAATTTCCCATCCCTCTTTGTATACTTTATGAAGCTAAGCAAACTTTTTATTGCTTTTTGTGGATTTTATGAAGCATTTGCACTTCTTCATCGGATATACTTTTGATATCGGTTTCCATAACACTAAATAATAAATGAACAGGTAGATAGTCCCAAAGATGCTTTTTCAAGAGGCAACTGGACTTTGTTTTTCTTTGAAGATGTTTCACTTCTCATCCAAGAAGCTTCTTCATCCAAGAAACTTCTTGGATGAGAATAGAAATGTCTTCAAAGAAAAATAAGAAAGTCCAGTTGCCTCTTGAAAAATGCACCTTTGGGACAATCATGATCTGGATAATTAAGAATCTCCATAGATCAGGTAGGTAGCATGTTTAGGTAAAGGAGAGACCGAAGTATATTGAAAATGACCGAAGTATATTGAATTTATGCCTCAACATCTACTACAATAGATGCAATTATGGCGATGCAACAATTTTCCTATTATTCTATGTTTAAATCAGTGGTGAAATGTAAAAGTTATTACTACCTGTTCTGTGGGCGTGGCTTGGGGGGGTAATTTGACTGGGTGGGCATGGCCAACTTTTTTTTTTAACTTTTAAAACCATTTTTTCTACAACCTCTTCAGCATGTATTTATTTATTTTATTTATTTGTTTAAATTTCTATACCGCCCTTCTCCAAATAGGACTCAGGGCGGTGCACAGCCTAAGTAAAAACAAAGCATACAAAATTTAAAAAACAGTATTAAAATAATTAAATATTCTGGCCGTAAATTAAAACAACCCAATTTAAAATCAATTTAAAATTTAAAATGTAAAAAATGCTTTTAAAAGGCTCTGACAATCTCAGCTTAGTCGCGCGATCATCAGAGACTTTTTTTTTTACTTTTAAAAGCATTTTTTCCGCTGAAGAGGTTGTAGAAAAATGCTTTTAAAAATTAAAAAAAAAAGCCTCTGATGATTGTGCGGCTCAGCTGGGCATGGGGGGCGGAGGCAGGGATTTTTGCTACCAGTTCTCTGAACCACCCGCTGCCATCGCTACCGGATCGGGAGATCCGTCCGAACTGGGAGCATTTCACCCCTGGTTTAAATGTTTTATAAGGAGATTTGTCAACACTCAATAATGAATGAATTGGGTGGCCTTACAAATCAAATCAGTAAATAAATGTTCACCTAGTACATATATAAATGCATTAGAGATCTGGCCAAAACATCCCAAAACTATAGGATCCATGCTTTAACAAAATAATAGCATTTTGATATATTTCATTATAAATGCATTATTCTTTTAATGTTGGTACTACAGTATTCTGTTGTCCTTGGTCTTGTTCTAAAATGTCAGATCATATTCAAGAGTCCAGAAACACTCAGAATGCTATGTCCAGAGCAGATACAGGCATTATGTCATGCCCCTAAACATAGAATTTTAGTACGTTATGTATTTTTGCACAGTGCATATCTATGTCTGGAAAACTCATTAAGGTGTATCAGAAATGATCCCAGCACACACCTGAGCAGGTACCTTTCAATCTCTCCCTTTTCTCAGGGCTTTTGATAAACAAGAGCGCCTCCTTCAGCCAAAAGATGCTCCAGGTGTAGTTCTAACTACAAAATTTCTTTCCCAAATAATTGATCCCAGAGCAAAAAGGGATCTCTTACCCAAAACAGCCACGTTCTGAGAATTCTCCAACATAACTTCCCTATGCAAGGCCCTTTGGCAACAATCCAACAGTGCCCATTCCTCCTCTGTGAAATTCATGGCTACCTCCTCAAAGGAGATGGAACCCTGAAAGAGGAAGAACATTTTTCTTAGCAGATAGCCCCCTGGAAGGACATGCTAAATCTCCTCCTATTTCATAAAATTAAAATATACAATTTTGCAATGGAGCAATGCACGTTTTCTTGCACTGTTGGAATAACTTTACAGAGTTGATGAAGCTATTCCAAAATACACAGGATTAATTCAATTTATATGATTTAGCTACATTCATGATGCAGACCAGCAGAAGAGGTCCCCTTAGAGAGCTTCCAACTGGCTAACAATGCAGTACAGAGGCTTAGGGAACAGTATGCCTTACTTCTGCCTGCCTGGTGAGCAAATTGTAGGGACTTTAGACAACACACAGAGTAGTGTTTTTTTTTTCCTGAACTTATTCAATTTCTTGGCGACAATGGTGCTCTCTGAGCTTGATTGTTTTCTTGCAGACATTTCATTACTAGGTAACATCATCAGCACTGAGCTCCAAATATTCTCCTTTAATGGTATGTGGAGACAAGCTTGGGAATCCTAAGTGACTTCACCGAAATCTTTTCATCTCACAGCTTTTGTTACTTCTTTATAGTATGACCAAAACATTTTTATTGTATGAGGTATTTAGCCTGTGATTATGAGAATATTTACATGGAGATCTGTATTTCACATTTTTACCACATAATCAAAGCATTTCTCCTATACTTGTAGTAGTTTCTATGCTATGCTTTACTTCATTCATTTCATTCTTAACTGTTTTTGAGTAATTTTATAAAATGCAAAAGCAATTTCTATTTTTTTCACCTGTCTCAGATACTGGATTGTGTATTTTCACACCAACCCTATATAGCAGGGGTGTCAAACTCGTGTCGTCATGTGACGTATCATGACTTCCCCAACCCTTCGCTAAAACGAGGGTGGGCATGGCCAGCGCATGATGCATCTGGCCTGTAGGCCACTGGTTTGACACCCTGCTGTATAGCAAACCAAGATGTATGAGTGTGACATGAGAAGAGCAAGACATTCCATCTTGCTAAAGAACTGTCCATAATCTGAGCCTGGGCCCCCCATATGATTCAATTCTCTGATGCAGCTTTCCCTACCTGATTTGGGGGCATAGCTGTTGTTTCTGCTCCATTATAAAGAGGAGACATTTCAGGGATGAATGCCTTCAAGAGAAAAATGGAAGAAACAGCCTGTTTTCAAGTCTTATGAACAAGCTCTTAGGAAGCACTATATACAAAAACCATCTTCATGCACAAGCTTAGGATTTGGTACGAAAGGAATCAGTCTCATTGCCTTCAGAAAAAACCTTCTCTTACCTGACGAAGTGACCCAAACTGGATTATCCTGGGAGACCTTCCCAAAGAGCAGTTCTTGAGAGGAACTGAACAGACCTCCCCTTTCTTTGGGATGCACTGTGACCATTTCCATCCACGGCTTCTCCACCTGAAAGACCAGCTAGTGTTAGAAAGCCTGATGAGATGTGATGCTGGCTACCAGCTTGGCTGAGTTCAAAAAAAGAGTTGGACCAGTTCCTAGGTATCATTGGCTATTAGCCTTGATGGCAGTGTGACTGCCTCTGAAAGCCATCTGCTGGGAGAGTAGTGGGGTTCCTTGTGTGGTTGGGCCACTGTGAGAAGAGATTGCTGGAATGAGCCAGAGGTCCAATACAGCCGGCCACTGTTTTACATTTTTATTTATATCCTCTTTATGATGGACATCTGAGGGACCATCTCTTGACGGTCACATCTACCTGACCCACTAGAACAGGGAGGCAAGAAATATTGTGGGTCCCATCCCCTAAGGAGATATATGTGGCAGGACCCAGAAGGGTCATCCCCTTGGTGGCTCCCCCTCTCTGGAAGATCATCCCTCTGGAAATGAGATTGGCTCCCACTCTCCCACTCTTTTGAAAGGTCCTCAAAATGTTCTGTCAGTGGGCTGGGGAACCCAGAGTGGGATGGAGCCCATTACCGTATTTTTCGGAGTACAAGACGCACCTTTTCCCCCCCTAAAAGGGGGTGAAAATTTAGGTGCGTCTTATACACCAAATGTAGCCCCGCCCACCTACTGGCCCCCACTCTTTGGCCTCTGCCTCCCAACAGTTACCTCCTTGCAGCAAGCAGCAAGAAGAAACAGCTCCTTTCAGCTTCAGCACAGCCTAATTAGCTCAAGTTGATTGGATCGGCTCTCAGCTGTTTTGCGCAGGCCTCTGCTGCTTGCTGATAGGAGGTAAATTGCTGGAGCAGATTTTTTTTTCTTGTGCTAATCAAGCTATGCTGAAAATCAAAATGAAAGTAAAACAGTCTGTTTGCTGCAATGAGGCAAAATTGCTGGGAGGCAGAGGCAGATTTCTTTTTCTTGTTTTCCTCACCAAAAAAGGTAGGTGAGTTTTATAGTCTGGTGCATCTTATAGTCCGATAAATACGGTAAATGGCTAGTATGAATGTGTGTTGTCGCCTGGATGGGAGAATTGGGGGTTGCTGGTTTTTTTTCCTTTCTTTTATATTGGGTTTTTATGTCCCTGTAAGCTGGCTTGAGTCGCCATGTGCAAGTAGGCAGCAATATACATTTTCTAAATAAATAATAGACATAAACAGCAGCGTGGTGGCTCAGCAGTTAAGATGCTGGGCTTGTCGCAGGAGTGAAATCCAGCAGGCTCCGACAGGTTCTGGAGAACCGGTAGCAGAAATTTTGAGTAGTTTGGAGAACCGGCAAATACCACCTCTGGCTGGCCCCAAAGTGGGGTGGGAATGGAGATTTTGCAATATCCTTCCCCCAGGAGTGGGGAGGGAATGGGGATTTTGCAGTATCTTTCCCCTGGAGTGGAGTGGGAATGAAGATTTTGCAGTATCCTTCCCCTGCCGCGCCCACCAAGCTACGCCCACAGAACAGGTAGTAAAAAAAATTGGACTTTACCACTGGCTTGTTGTCTGGAAAAATATATGGGGGGGGGGAGAGATAGAAATAGTCTGAGGTTTCCCCTTCTATGGAATTATCTGGGAAGGGAAACAGAATCATTTGCCTAAATAAAAAAAATCTCAAATTATAAATTCCAAAAAAGATTGACTAGGTACTTAAGAAATCATGGACACTGCTACAAGGATGATGTTCTCTCACCTGCTTCATTCCCAGCTTATTGTCTGCTGCCTGGCTGAGAAGGAACCCTTCAGCCAAGGCCACCGCCTGGGAACAGGTCTCAACTCCACACTCTCTGACCCAGCTCTCCATCTCTGGGGGCAGGACAGCCAGGAACTGCTCCAGGACCACCAGATCCAGCATGTCGGCTTTGGTGCTCCTTTCTGGCTTCAGCCATTGATGGCAAAGCTGATGAAGTTGGCTGCAAACTGCCTGGGGCCCCTTGGCCTCCTGATAGCAGAAATTCTGGAAGCGCCAATGCCAAACATCTGAACTGGTAGTGCCCTCATGGGGAATCTTCTGGCTGATTGTTTTCCAAAATTCTCCACTGTTTCCAGTTTGAATGGCAGGAAAGTCTTTTCCTGCTCTCAGTCCTGCTGACCTTTGCATATCTACCATATTTTTTATTTCTGCTCTAATGCATTTCCAACAGGAACCAAAAATTTCCTGGTCTACAGAGCAATGTTTAATCACAACATCCATATTTTACAGGACCAGGATTTGGCTAGGATTTATTTTCCATTCTAGACAAGGAGTTACTTCAAAAGCAAGTTAACAGAGTTGCCTCTTGGCAACTTTATAAGACTTTATAAGAACGGCAGCTTATAATTTTCATAATAAATTTAAAAAAGCAAATTAATAAGCTTGGATATATTCCAATCTGAACATGAACTGAAAAACAGAACAGAACAATCAGAACAGCAGAGAACTGTAGTCCTTGGAATCCAATTGCAGAGAATCATGATGTTTTTGCTTGGAGAACTCCATTGGATCTTCTATTAAAAGCCCTCCAGAATGAAAGTCCAAGATGATCCATCAGCAGTTTTTTCTGATGGAGAATAACTCCCTCCTCTCTTCCATGATAATCAGCTGTCATACACGCAGTCCTCAACTTATGACCACAATTGAGCCCAAGATGTTTGTTGTTAAATGAAACATTTGTGAAGTGAGTTTTGCCGCATGTTACAACCTTTCTTGCCACACTTGTTAAGTGAATCACTGAAATTGTTAAGTCAGTAACCTGGTTAAGTGAATCTGCCTTTCCCATGCACTTTGCTTGTCAGAAGGTTGCAAAAAGGGATGACATGACCCTGGGACACAGCATCGGTCGTAAGTACAAGTCAGTTGCCAAGCATCTGCATTTTGATCACATGACCATGGGGACGCTGCCAAGGTTGTAACTGAAAAATGGCCACCAGTCACTTCATTCAGTGCCGTTGTAACTTTGAACGGTCACTAAGTGAAATGTTGTAAGTCGAGGATTACCTGTATTCATAGGGCAGCTACTTTTTTTTTACAGGCACTGTTCTGTTCTGGAAGGTTTGGGCAGAGAAAGGGCTCCTCTCCACACCTCTCTCAGATCCAGATCCAGCCTCTCCTCCAGGATTTCCAACAAAGAAGGATCCCCCCCACACACACACTCCTAACACTTGATCCCTGGAGGAGGTTGGAGAGAGCCAGCCAGTCAGCCAAAGCTCCTTTCCTTCAAGTACAAGCGGGGAATATTCTTTCCAAGTTTCCTGGATCGCCAGCCAGCCAGCCAGCCGGGGAGCTGCAGGATGTCAGGGCACTGATTAATCCCATGTTTGGCTCTGGGACAAATCACCCTGGTTAGAGGATGGATCGTGGCTTATTCCTTGTTGCAATATTCTGAAAAGAAACGCGAAGAAAAGTTCTCTAATAAAACTCATTTATTTGTTATAAAGAAAATAAAACACCTCACTAACTAAGAAAAGTAATTGCTACATTTTGAAATAGTTCTTGCCGGCTATTTCTCAGCCGGACCTTTCTGGCAAGAGAACAAAAAGTGTGTGAAGGAATGTGGGTAGATGGACATGCCTAGTAGCTTTTGATAACAATTCTTGGCAAGGTACGGAAAGTCTGATAGTCCAGAAATATGAAGCTCAGCTGGTAAATAAAATAACGCAGTGACACAGGTGAAGCCAGAGGAGGGCTTCCCCTGCCTGATCGGGGATCGCCCTTCCTCCTGTTTTCCTATTGGGGGACAAAAGGGTCTCCCCTCTCCCCAGTCACCCCCAACCCCTTCCCAGATTTCCAGCGATTTGAGGTTTCGTTCCCTCGCTGGTTGCTCCTGGGAAGAGCGAAGGCAACGCGCGCCCGGATCCTCGATCCCGCCATAACATCACCGCTCGCTCCTTGCCTTCCAGGAAGGGAAGAAGGCCGAGCCTAACGCTCTTTCCTAGAGAGGCGAGACGTTCTGGGAAAGGATAAACTGAGCATGCGCCGTAAAGCTTCGCTTTTAAAGCTTGAGCGGAGGCCTGGAAGTGAGGGTCGCCTAAAAAAAAAAAAAAGGAAGAAAGAAAAAGCCCTTGCCTCTCTAGGAAGAGCACTCTCTCGCCCTCATGCAGTGGTACCTGCAGACAAAGAGGGAGCGAGGCTGAGTGGCGGCTCTTCCTTTCACCAGCAAAAAAAAAAAAAAAAAAAAAAGCGAGGAAGCCTAATTGCAAATCCCCCACCAAAAAAAAAAACGGGTTTAACCAGGAAGGCTGGGAAGGGGCTGTTGAGTGTTGGGAGAAGGATCCCTTTGCCCCCCCCCCCCGCCTTCCAGCGTGAAAATAGGTGGGGAAGCCCTGGACATCATCCTCATTGGCTATCCTGCAGATCCCCGGGTGGATCTCGGCACCTGCAGCGATCCGGAGAGATTGGAAAGCGCCTGCGCCCTCGTTCCGCAAGTGGCCCGTTTTCTGATCCTGGCTGGAGGGTCCTGGGGTGGGTTGGGGGGTTGGGGGAGTGGGACTTCTGGCTGGCGCGTTTGCTCAGAGGGGAGACAAATTGACGTTTGGATTGCAGTTCTTGGTTGGTTTTGGATTTGGAAGAGGAAGGTATCTGATCCTGCCTGTGATGTCTCTTGGGAAGATAAATCACGGAGAGAATATTTCTGAGGCTATTCTAGAGTTATCTTCATGAGAGTTGGACTGTTATAAATTGAAGTGGAATTAAGGAGGAACTTCCTAAGAGCCAGGGCAATTAACCAGTGGAACAGCTTGCCTTCGGAAATTGTGGGGTTTTAAGAGGTTTTTAAGAAAAGACTGAACAGCCACCTGTCTGAAATGGTATAGGGTGGTCTCCTGCTTGAGCAGGGGGTCGGACTAGAAGACCTCCAAGGACCCTTTCCAGCTCTATTCTGATTGATGGATTGAAAGTCACTTTGTGGACAAGTGACTTGACTAGGTAGAATGGAACTCCAATGGTCTTCAGGGAGAGGAGCTGCCAAAACCTGGGAGCCTGTCATGTGGCCTGGAAGCAGAGGGGACTTTGGGGGAAGTGGCAGCCCAAGATGCATCCCCAAGGGTCCCTGCAGCTCCGAGGCTGAGAGCTGTGCCCAGGCGGTGGCCGTGGCCGAAGGCTGCCTGTTCGGCCCTGCAGCCCCCGAGGAGCTGGCAAAGGAGCAGGTGAGAGAATTTCATCCCGGGAGCTTTCTAAGATGATAATGTGACAAGCAATGATCTGAATTCCTAAATTCTTTAATGGTCTTGTCCATCTTTTCTGGAACTATTCTCCTAGGTTCCTTTCTTTTTTTACACAAAAGAGGAAAAAAGCATAGGTACATTGCACAGATGCAAATTAGTAGAAAGAATTGTCAGACAATGAAAAAATGATACTAAATAAGACACGAATGCCTTGGTAGTACAGTGGTCTAAAGCACCCTGTTACTAAAACCAGCTGCCTGCAATTACTGCAGGTTCGAATCTCTCCAGGCTCAAGGTTGACTCAGCCTTCCATCCTTTCTAAGGTAGGTAAATTGAGGACCCAGTTTGTGGGGGCAATAAGCTGACTTTGTATAAATATACAAAAAGTATGAAGGCTATTGCTTAACGCATTGTAAGCCGCCCTGAGTCTCCGGAGAAGGATGGCATATAAATCAAATTAAAAAAAAGAAAAGAATGCTACTGGTATTATTTGGTGCTTAAAATGGAACTTAGCCTACATATTTGAAAAGAATATGTAAAACTAAACATTTAAACTTAATAGGCAGTTAGAGACTGGATGGAATATATTGCTCAGTTGCCCTTCAGCTGCAATTTTAATAGGCTTTGGATATGTGCCTTCCCCACAAAAGCATTACAATGCCGCTGTGCTTTAACTGTCAGGCCAGTGACAAGTCTCCCCATTGCAAGAGGCAACAGAAAACCAAGCTTGTCATTAAATCTAAATCAAAATACTCCAGGTGGAACATATACTAATAGAACTTAGACAAATATATCGCCCCATAATGCTTTGGAGCACTCTGAACGGTTTACAATGTAATCATATTGCCCCCAACAATCTGGGTCCTTGTTTTACTGACCTTGGAAGGATGGAAGGCTGAGTCAACCTTGAGCCAGTCGGGATCGAACTCCTGGCAGTGAGCAGAGTCAGCCTGCAATACTGCATTCTGCAGTATTGCAGGCTGTAAACCATGGTTCTAAACAGACATTATTAAAACCACAACGAAAGAAGGGGCCACATCCTTGAAGAAAAGAGCAAAAGTAAGCCACCCAGAGTTGTGATTAGATGGGCAGGAAGCAAATTTAATAAAGAAACAAAAGTAGAGGAAGAACTCATACAAATAAAAAAGAATAAAAAGAGGAAATAATCAAAAGAGGCACAGAAGCAGCAGAGCATTTACCCAGAAATAGCCAAATACAAAGATTAATCATTAGCAGCTGGATTTGGGTTGGGTAGAAGGCAAGGCAAGAAACCTATCATAGTCATGGTCATCAGAAAGTGGATCATAAACCAGGCTGGTTTTTTTTAGATACAGGAACTGTTCATGGAGGAGATCTCAGTAGACTCCCAGGGAAGAGGAGATCAACCCAGTCCTTCTCGAGAGCTTTTCAGGAGGATCTCACAAGAAGACCCACATCAGGTCGCTTCCTCATGTAAGTGAAGGTATCTTCTGAAAGCCTAGGCTCCTTCTATTCATCAGCTGCTTTGGCAATGAAATTCTAGGCCTTTCTCCTTTGTTGTGCATTCTCAGTCCTTATTCACAAACCCTACAATAATCTGTTTTCCTCTCCTTAACAGGGCAGGGAAGAACATTAATGGAAACCCCTGAAATGATACCTGTTTGTGATGGAGCCGAAGTAGCATGTGTGCATCCAATTCAGGTAGGGGGTTGAATCCCAACAGGGGACTGTTTGGTATGGGGCTCAGTGCACAATCTGTTGCTCGGCAAAAGAGGGTGTGGAGGCCATGCTTCAGTGACCTATTGAGTCATATTCAGTTTAATAGTCTCTTCAGGACTGTTGCTGAGCTACAAAGAGAAAATGTATAAGCTGAGAGGCTGGTATTGTAATAAAGAAATGCAATTTATTGTTGAGAGAAATGAATGTTCTTTTTTTCCCCCTTTTACCTGAGGTAAGTTAATACAAGTCATGAGGTAACAACCTCGTCTTATGATCCCAATTGAGCTCAAAATTTCTGTTACTAAGCAAAGCAGTGGTTAAGGGAGTTGTGCTCCATTTTATGACATTTTTGCCATAGTTGTTAAGTGAATCAATCACTGCAGTTGTTAAGTGAATTACACCGCCGTTAAGTGAATCCAGCTTCCCTCATTTATTTTGCTTGTCGGAAGCCGGCTGGGAAGGTTACAAAGGGTGATCACATGACCCTGGGACAGTGCAACTGTCGTAAGTACATGTCAGTTGCCTAGTGTTGGAATTTTGATCATGTGACCATGGGGATGCTGCTATATCGTAAGTGTGAAAACTGGTCACAAGTCACTTTTTTCAGTGCTGTTGTAGCTTTAGTCACTAAATGAATGGTTGTAAGTCGAGGTTTACCTGTATAATGAACATAAATTAAAACAGGTGAAAGAAGCAAATACTGTATATTGGCATTGTATAAGAGTGCAGAATACCGGTTAAAACATTTAAAAATGTGGAAGGTTTATAGCGAGATATTTAAACTCAAAATAAGGAGGAATTTTCTAACTCAAGGGAATTGTTAAACAGTGGAGAGATTTTTCATTTTGGAGTTGGGGCTCCATCACAGGATGTTTTCAAACAGAGATTAGACTGCTATTTTCTGGGATGGTCTAACCCTGGAAAATCCCAAAGGTGCTTTTTCAAGAAGCAATTGGATTTTCTGGTTTTTCTTTGAAGTCGTTTCGCTTCTCATCCAAGAAACTTCTTCAGCTCTGACTGGATGGTGGGGAATGGAAGGATTTATACTCCTTGCTGACAGCTCGTCATTTGCATTCTTTTAGAGCAGGGGTCCCCAAACTTGGCAGCTTTAAGACTTGTGGACTTCAACTCCCAGAATTCTGGAAGTTGAAGTCCACAAGTCTTAAAGCTGCCAAGTTTGAAGACCTCTGTTTTAGAGAGTTGTTGAGGGCACCTGGAGGTTTATCTGTGTCATCAGGGTCACCTGAGTGGTGCAAATGTGTGTGGAGCCGTTTGGAGGACTGTGTTGTAGATTGGAGATAGATGATGTCTGCCATGACCTGGATGACTGAGAATCTCCATAAACCCTGGACAGGTATTGGACTAAAACATCCATTTTAATCCTATGAGTTTATTCTATAATAAAAAAATCAAATCGAATCAATAAGAAAAGCATAAAAGAGTTATTTATTTATTATTCAAATTTCTATACCGCCCTTCTCCTTTTGGACTCAGGGCGGTGAACAGCCAAAATAAAAACATCTATACATAACATTACAGTTAAAAATAGAGTTAAAATAATTTATAAATTTGGCCCGTAATTTAAAACTTGTCAATTTAAAATCAATATTAAAATTTTAAAACTAACCCTAAAATCAAGACAGACCGGCTAACTGAAAAAAATAAGTTTTTAGGGCCCGACGAAAAGTCCGGAGGTCGGAGATCACTCGTATCTCTGGGGGTAGATTGTTCCATAGGGTAGGTGCCACCACAGAGAAGGCTCTCCTCCTGGGGGTCGCCAGCCGGCATTGTCTGGCCGACGGCACCCTGAGGAGGCCCTCTCTCTGGGAGCGAACCGGCCGGTGGGAGGCTATTGGTGGCAGAAGGCGGTCCCGTAAGTACCCTGGCCCTAAGCCATGGAGCGCTTTAAAGGTGATCACCAACACCTTGAAGCGCACCCGGAAGTCCACCGGAAGCCAATGCAGCTCGTGCAGGAGAGGAGTCACATGGGAGCACCCCGTCGGTCCCATAATCCCCCGCGCGGCCGCATTCTGCACCAGTTGGAGCCTCCAGGTGTACCCCAAGGGGAGCCCCATGTAGAGAGCGTTACAATAGTCCAGACGAGAGTTACAGAAATACAGAAGCATATTCACTTAAAAATCAATAACGTGAAGTACAGATTTCCCAGGTGAAAATAACTGCACTTAAATTGTTCCTGGGATTGTCTGATAAATGATATTGTCTTCCTCTTTTAGGGCTTCATATCCTTTGAGGAAGTGGCTGTGGACTTCACGCTGGAGGAATGGGCACTACTCAGTTGGAGCCAAAGAACCTTGTGGAGGGAGGTCATGCTAGAGATTTCCCTGAATATAGCCACTCTGGGTAAGACTCCTCTTTGCTCCATTCATTACAGAATTTTAGGAATAGGAATTCAAGGAACATATTTCTGTGCATTGGTCTAGGATGGTGCAGATTCCTACCTGACCACTACATGAATTACCACTTTCCTAATCTCCAAAAATTAAATAGAATCAGATGTGGTTTGTTCTTGGATGGGAAACTGCCAGGATGTCCAGAATCTTTTGGCAAGGCCAACAAAGAGGAAAGCCATCCAGGAAGAAGATACGATATTTCTCCATTGGCCAAGAAAAGGACCAGTGTGAATCTGTGAAGCCAGAGGAAACTACAAATAACATCCATTTCTCCCCTATTTTATTTAGCTGTTTTCACGTTACAGGTTACTTTTTTCGTTACATTAATGAAACATAGTCAGTGCCAATTGTTCTTACTGTAGTTCCCTCATATAGAACTTTTCAGTATTTTACTATATGAATCAAGTGGCTCTTAATAAAAATGGATCTTCAAGGGCAGACTCAGGAGAGAGAACATTGCAATATGCTGCTCAATGACAAAGGCATGAGTGACTGAACACAGCCTCTTGTTCTAAGAGGGGCTATATTATAATAGGCATATCTGCACATCAAGGAGCAACATTCAGTGATAATCCCGAGCTACAAGCCAGTTCAATGCAGGATAGAGTCTCCCCCCCACCTTTGAGAATCAAAGATGTAGAGAGAAGCATCCAGTTCCTTAGGACTGGAATTCCAAATAAGCTAGGAAGACAAACTTTTGGTCAACTCATTCTGATTTGCTCAGCTTCCTCTAATTTTGAGCAGTATTGTCCTCTGGGTGCTTGCCAATTTCTCAAAGGGGTTAAATAAATGATACTCCTATCGTCTCTTCCCTTGGGAAGGTCTGTACTGCAGTCTGTGGATACAATATGATTGGAGAACTATTGGGGGGTCACTATTATTGCCAGTATATAGGCCTGAGTATGGGCATTTGTTTATTTCCCACCTTTATTATTTTTATACATACTGTAACTCAAGGCGGTGAATACACACAATATTGCTTCCTCCTCCTATTTACCCCTTAACAACAATCCTGTGAATGAATTGGGCCAAGAGAAAATGACTGGCCCAAAGTCACCCAACAGACTTTCATGCCGGATTAGAATTTAAGTCTCCTTGCTTCTAGTCTGGTTCCTTAACCACTTGATCAAAGTGGATCTACATTTTACTTTTACTAGGTTGCCTAGATTGGCCCCTTGTCCTCTGTCACACTGCTCTGGATTTGCGTCATCACCTGCAAAATCATGGCTATATAAGTGATCCTCTGTGAAAATGTAACCCAAAATGCCAAATATAATATATAGTGAATATATTAGAATAGAATTTTTTTTTGGCCAAGAGTGATTGGACACACAAGAAATTTGTCTTGGTGCATATGCTCTCAGTGTACATAAAAGAAAAGATACGTTCATCAAGAATCATAACGTACAACACTTAATGATAGTCATAGGAACCAAATAAGCAATCAGGAAACAATATAATATCAATATATTAAATTACAATTGCCAAACTACCCTACCATAGTCCAACAGCTGTTGCCAAGTTTGAAATCTGAAGTATATTCATAACAGGGAGATCCCATTCATCTTTCTAAATTCTAACAGGAACTTCTCTTTCCTTTTTTTTTGCAAGCAGGTGATAGGCAGAGCAATGAGAATGACAAGCAGCCAAGGTTAGTACCACTGCAAACAGCCGAGTATGAAGTTGAAGAAGTGATGTTTGGCCATCAAGGGGGCCCAGAAAGCCAAGAGAAAAGCAACACAGAAGATGGAGGCGAGAGTTCTCCCACTTCTCTCCCCTTTGAAACCCATCACTTCCTAATCCAGGAAGTTCAGGAAGAAAACACAAATGGAAAATATGTCGGATGGGGCCAAAGAAAGAAAAACACATTTAATTTACATGAATATTGTAGAAGCCAGGCTAAAAGGAAAGAGTATGGTTGCAGGCAATATGGAAGAAATCTTAATACTTTCTTCTCCCTTGGTTTACCCAAAAAACTCTACAGGAAATACAAACCACATACATTTATAAAATTTGGGAGGGGTTTTACTCTGAGCACTTACGTTAATTCCCATGAAGAATTTCACACAGAGGTGAAGCTGTGGAAATGCATCTACTGTGGAAAGAGCTTCAGTACAAACAGTAACCTCCTTCGCCATCAAATGATCCACACAGGTGAAAAGCCATATGAATGCCTGGAGTGCGGCAAGAGATTCATTGAGAACAGAGACCTTACTCGTCATAGAAGGATCCACACAGGGGAGAAACCATATGACTGCATAGTGTGTGGAAAGGCCTTCAGAACAAACGGTCATCTGACCCGCCATCAAAAGATCCATTCAGGTGAAAAACCATATAAATGCATGGACTGTGGGAAGAGCTACATTGAAAGCAGAGATCTTACTTGTCATAAAAGGATCCACACGGGGGAGAAGCCATACAAATGCAGAGAGTGCGGAAAGAGCTTTCCTCGGAATAGTGCCCTGATTTGCCATCAAAAAATCCACACGGGGGAAAAACCTTATAAATGCATGGAATGTGAGAAGAGCTTCATTAAGAAAGGACAACTTATTTCCCATCAGAGGATCCACACAGGTGAAAAACCATACAAGTGTATGGAATGTGGAAAGAGCTTCAGTAGAAACAATAATCTTACATCCCATCAAAGGATTCACACGAGGGAAAAACCGTACAAATGTAGGGAGTGTGGAAAGAGTTTTAACTATAACAGTGGCCTTTCTCGCCATCAGAGGAAACACACGGGTGAGAAGCCGTATAAATGCACAGAGTGCGGGAGGACTTTCATTCAGAAAGGACAACTTATTTCCCATCAAAGGATCCATACAGGTGAGAAGCCGTATCAATGCATGGAGTGCGGAAAGACCCTCAGTAGCAAGAGTGCCATTGCCTACCATCGAAGAATCCACACCGGGGAGAAACCCTATAAATGCGCGGAGTGTGGGAAGACCTTTATTCAGAAAGGGCAACTTATTTCCCATCAAAGATTGCACACAGGGGAGAAACCATATAAATGCATGGAGTGTGGAAAGAGCTTCAGTAGTAGCAGTGCCGTTACCTACCATCAAAGAATCCACGCTGGTGAGGAAACATATATTCACACATGAGGAAAGATCTGATAGAGGAATGGCCTGGCCATAACTGAACCAGACGTAGAAATAAGTGAGAGGAAGGCTGAGGTAGCATAAGGGAACTTTCCTCTCATTCGCCTCATACTCCATGCATGCCCAGATATGAGGAAGAGGAGGTCTTTTAATGGGATTCCCCCTGTGGAGCTTGGTTGCCACGTTGATGGCTAAAAGGAATGTTGGAACTAAATATGGTGGTAGTGTACCCCAGTAGAGGCAAGAAAAAGAAGAACCACCAAGCTATAGCTGTGGCTCCCAACCTTTTGGGCACCAGGGACCGGTTTCGTGGAGAGAGGTTCTTCCGCGAACCGGAGAGCAGGGGTGAAATGCTCCCGGTTCGGACTGGATCACCTAATCCGGTAGCGATGGAGGTGGGTGGTTCAGAGAACCGGTAGCAAAAATCCCTCCCCCCCCCCCATGCCCAGCTAAGTTGTACAATCATCAGAAGCTTTTTTTTAACTTTTAAAAGCATTTTTTTCTACAACCTCTTCGGCTGAAAAAAATGCTTTTAAAAGTTAAAAAAAAGCCTCTGATGATTGCACGGCTTAGCTGGGATCGTCAAAGGCTTTTAAAAGCATTTGCCTGAGTTGCCTGATCGTCAGAGGCATTTAAAAGAAAAAAAGCCTCTGCCAATCAGGCAAATCAGCTGGGATGTCAGAGCCTTTTGAAAGCATTTTTTCTTCAACCTCTTCGCTGAAGAGGTTGTAGAAAAAATGGTTTTAAAAGTTAAAAAAGAAATGGCCACGCCCACCCAGTCACATTACCCCCACCATCACCAAGCCATGCCCACAGAACCGGTAGTAACAAATTTTAGATTTCACCACTGCTGGAGAGGGTGTGGTTTCGTGTGCTTCCGACATCCTGCAGATGGGGCTTGTTTACGTGGCCCTGTTTCTGGCATCTTGTAGCCCGGTGCAGGTCCACGGACCGGGGATTGGGGACCCCTGAGCTATAGAAAGAATTGAAAAGGATGTGTGCAATTTTTAAAATAATTTTTTAGCCATTCATCTGGGAGTAAAAAGTTCATGTTAACACTTTTTTGAGATTTACCTTATAGGGGTCTTTAACATTTAATATAACCAAGATAAATGAATTCCAAACTGCATGTCCTTCCTTCCAATCTACGTTGCCCAAATTATTTCCTTCCCAGTGATGTACAGGTTGTCCTCCACTTACGACCGCAGTTGAACCCAAAATTTCTGTTGTTAAGTGAGACATTTGTCAAGTGAGACTTGCCCCATTTTGTGACCTTTCTTGCCGCAGTGGTTAAGTGAATCACCACCCTTGATAAATTAGTAACCCGGCTGGTAAATGAACCTGGTTTCCCCATTGACTCTGCTTGTCAGAAGGCCGCAAAAGGGGATCACATGGCCTTGAGACACAGCAACGCTCATAAGTACGAGTCAGTTGCCAAGCATCTCAATTTTGATCACATGATCAAGGAGTTGCTACAAAGGTGGTGTGAAAAACGGTCATGAGTCACTTTTTTCAGTGCTGTTGTAACTTTGAACGGTCACTAAATGAACTGGTGTAAGTCAAGGACTATGTGTATATATTTCCCAAATACCACGATGGAATTTGATGATTTCTTGAACATGACCTGGTGTATCCTCTATCTAGGGTGGTCGACAATGAGGTGCAATGGTTAGAAATTCAGATTGCAAGAGAAAGATTTTCCTTTTGTTTTTTTCCTCTATTGTTCAGGTGTTTCTCCGCACTTTCCTCTTCCTTCTTTTCCATGTGGCTGTATTCCTATACAGGTAATCCTCGGCATATGACTACAATTGAGCCCAAAATTTCTGTTGCTAAGCAAGACAGTTATTAAGTGAGTCTTGCCCCATTTTATGCCCTTTCTTGCCACAGTTAAGTGAATTATTGTACATTGTCAGAAGGTAGCAAAAGAGGTTCACATGACTCCGGGACCCTACAATCGTCATAAATACAAGTCAATTGCCAACTGTCTGAATTTTGACCACATGACCATGGAAATGCTTCAATGGCCATAAGTCACTTTTTTCAGTGCCATTGTAACTTTGAATGGTCACTTAAACGAATGGCTATGAATCGAGAACTACCTCCCATAAACTTATCTATCAGCAAGAGAGCATCTTTAGCCAATTGTTAACTGAATTTTTTTTTTTAATTGAATGATTTTAAAACCTGCTGAACAAGAAATTGACCAGCTGGGCTGAATTTACCCTACTAGTTGGGCTGAATTGTAGTTGCTCCATTTTTGGGTTGTTTGATAAGAAGAAGCCTGACCTTGAAATTCAGATATTGTAACTTAATGCAGTTGGTTAGTAATACCCTGGGACTCGGCCTAGGTGCCTTCAGAAATAAGAATGCAACATTTGGGACTTTTTAGCTTAAAAGGTAAGTCTGAGATTGGGGGACAAAATATGTACAATTGAAAGATCAGATAGATTCTCCCTCCTTGATCAAAACAGAAACCAAAGGAGGGATTTCCAATACTGAAATTCATTATGGAAGATTCTGGATGAACAGACCGACTAACTGGTTTCCTCAAAATCTCAGGTAAGACTAAAACCCAATTGGTAATTTCTGGCACTTGGACAACCTTGTCTAGATAAGCAGGATCAGCCCTAGTTAGAGATGGGACAGGAGACCACCAGGAATTCCAAGATTAAAGGCCCATAATAACCGCTGAGGGGGACAGAATGAAATTGCAGGGTTAAGAGTCCATCTTAGGCTTTGTATTCTTTTCCTTGGACATACTCCTTCCCTGAATATAACTAACTCTTTTATCCTCTTATCTGTAACTATCTTCTTGTCTACATTATAATGTGCAGCAAAAAATGTTTAATTGCTTTGTTGAATAAATTATTTAAGATTTTTATTCTGTGTGTTTATTGCCTGAAACTTTTTCTCATACTTGGCTGGGGCAAAGCAGTGCTAGACTGGAAAGTTTAAAACAATATGTCCAGTGGTGGGATCCTGCCGGTTTAACAACCGGTTCGGTGATCACATGTTTCGCGTATGCATGGTGCTGCATGCACACCCGCACCTGATGCGCGCTAAACGTGTGTGCACAATTTTGACAAAACTAAACTTCCGTGTTACTTATGGGGACTAACACAGCTGAAGCATGGCAATCCGCTCTGCTGTGTGAATCAGCTGAGAAGATAAAGGTGAGTAAAGCACGCAGGGGCGAGGCGGCCCACCTGATCGTCGGAGCAAACCGGTTCGCTCCCAGCTGATCGTCGGAGCTACCGGTACGCCCGAACTGGTCTGAACCGGCTGAATCCCATCCCTGAATATGTCTGAATTCAGCTGTGGAAGCAGTCATTTCATGTCAACTTCAGCTATCATTGCTGAGGAAATGGTGCTGTTTGAACTGGGCCATCACCTAAAACATTGTTGATTGATGGGCCATCGAAGCAGTGCCAACTGTTACCAATCACCAGACAAAACTTGTCCAGGATACCTGCTTCTTTAGGTCTCCCAATGGTGTATTCCTGCTGTAATAAAAGCCATCTTCCTTCCTCCCTCCCTCTCTCGGACTAGAAGACCTGCAAGGTCCCTTCCAACTCTGTTAATCTGTATCTCTACCCCCTCATGTCAACCCTGAGCTACAAATACTCTCCTTTATTGGGACCCATCACGCCCGGCTCTTTCGCCTTTCTCCACACCATCCCATTCCCAACCGCCCGAGTCTCGACCTCTCAGCGACTTTGTCAACGTTGGCGGAGAAGGGCGCATGCGCAGATCTTTGACAGCCTTCGATGCCGAGCAGAGGACAGGAGAGGCGGTGGGTTCCATTGGGAGACGCTCTAGGCAAAAGTAGGAAACGCGAGGGGAGGGGGGGAAAGGTGTTTATAGGCCTTTTCCTTCTCTAGGATGCAGCACTCTCTGACCGAAATTCTGTGGGAATAGGAGGGCGGGGGGAATTATGGCGGGAGCCATTTGTAGCTGCTCTTCTCCGCCTCAGAACCTCTGAGGGAACTCTCTCTCTCTCCTTCTGGAAACCGGGAAAGGGGTGGAGAGCGAAGGGTCCGCCGTGACCGAAGGCGGCGTCGGAGGGAGTTTCCTCCCGTCGGGGCTGCGCTGAAGCCGGGGACCGAATGGAGGCCCGGGGGTCTCCCCTTCAGACGGGGAGCGCCGGCGCCGGCGAGGAGTCCGGCGGGGGAAGCGGCCTCCCCGAGGGTCCCCGTAGCTCCGAGGCCGAGCGCTGGCGCTTCCGCAGCTGCGTCTCCCGGGAGGCCGAGGGGCCCCGGGCGCTTTGCAGCCGCCTGTACGGGCTGTGCCGGGGGTGGCTGCGGCCCGAGCGGAGCAGCAAAGCCGAGATGCTGGACCTGGTGGTGCTGGAGCAGCTGCTGGCCCTGCTGCCCCCGGAGCTGGCGGGCTGGCTGAGGGAGTGCGGGGCGGAGAGCTGCGCCCAGGCGGTGGCCCTGGCCGAAGGCTGCCTCCTCGGCCCCGCAGCCGCCCCGGAAAAGCTGGCAAAGGGCCGGCAGGTGAGGGAGCTTCATCCTCTTACTTGCCAGTTGCAGAGAAAACACACGTAGAGAACTTGTCTTGTTGGAATGGCTGATAATATGTGGGAATAACTGTGGGAGAGGCGGGCTGGGCAGCCACAATGTAAAAGATATCTTGGTCCCCAAAATATGACTGTGGGATTTGGATGAGGAGGGGAAAAGATCGTAAAAATCCTTCCTAGTTTTCCAGTGAATAAAAAGAGAGGATGATAGATGTACTTAATAGAATTGCAAGATCCTATTAGTGATAGATAAAAAAGCTAGTATTTATTGTCCTGCTTTTTGTCCAGACTACTTCAAAAGAATGATAAATGATTTCTCCAGTCAGATGTCTATGGAGCTTCTCAGTCATCCAGGTCATGGTTGTCCCAAAGGTGCTTTTTTTCAAGGGGCAACTGGACTTTCTGGGTTTTCTTTCAAGACATTTCGCTTCTCATCCAAGGAGCTTCTTCAGTTGTGACTGAATGGTGGGGGATGGAAGGTTTCCAGACCAGGGTTGTAGACTCCAAACTTGAATCCAAGAGGTTTCCTTGGGACTCTTCGACTTAAGATCACAATTGAGACTAGTTGTTAAGTGAGTCGCATTCAGTATTACAACCTTTTTTGCCAGGGTTGTTAAGCGAATCACTGTAGTTGTTAAATGAATCATGCAGTGAATCTGGCTTCCCCCATTAATTTTGCTTGCCGGAACAAAGCACAGGGAGACGGATCAACCAATTGGCATGCAGGATGCACATTTCCATACAATGTATAGTTGAGATTTGTGGCCTACTGGATTACAGGCAACTTTTTCAACGTTTGCAAGTAAGGGAGCATGCACAAGTCTTTGACAGCCTTCGATGCTGAGCAGACGACAGGAGAGGCTGTGGGTTTCATTGGGAGGTCCGTCTGCAACCATCTACACTTACCCATCAGCCCCTTCAAAGCATAGGTATGCATCGATGCCTCTGTGCAATTGCGGACAAGTCTACATCAAGATTTACTCATCACAAAATGCAGAAAGAAACAAAACTGAAAGGGGAAATAGATCCCCTACTGCTAAAGAGCTTCACTGATTTTGTGCCCTCAAGTGGTTTTCAGCTCTAGCAACCCTATATCTTCTCCATAACAATATATCCCTAAGTTGCTATTTCAGGTCTCCCAAAGGTGAATCATTCATCACCACCTCAACTGAATCCATCTACCTTGTTGCTGCTCATGCTCTTATTCTTTTTCCTTCCACCTTTTTCCAGGATTACTACTTTCTCCCAAGAGCTTGGCTTTTGCATAATGTATCTGAAATTGAGTAATTTGAGCCTGGTTATGTGTGCCCTTATTGAGAACTCTGGGGTTATTTGTTCAATGATCCTTCAGTTTGTTTAATTGGTTGTCCATTATATTCTCGGGAATCTTCAAGTACCAAAATTCAAGTCTATTCTAGTCTTCAAGTCTAGTCTTCCTGTCTTGCTGCACCTTTTACTTACTGAGAGTGTCACAGGGAGAAAACCATGGCTTGCACAATTCTGATCTTAGTAGGTATAGAGTCGTGATGGCATATAAATGTTTTTTCCAAGGGGGCTTCATAGCTGCTCTACCAAGTACTAATCTATGGTATATTTCTTGATTGCTTGTTCCATTAGTATTGATGGTTGATCCTAAAAGGCAGAACCTTTCCACCACTTTGATATCTTCATTGCCAATTCTGTGGCTGGTTTCTATTTATTTTTATTCTATTTATTTATAAAATAATTTTATACATAAATTACATTAATTTACATAAATTTATTTATTTTATTCTAGGTTGTATTTGTCTTCTTTATATATAATTTTAGTCCAATTTTCCACTCTGCTAGTTTACTACCAGGGCTTGCAGATCCTTTTCATTTTCAACTATCAGGTAATGACATCAGCATAGCACAAATTACTGATGTTTCTTCTTGCACTTTAAAAATCACTTCTTCCAATTCAGCTTTCCTTAATATCGGTTGGCCTTTACTTACAACCATTCATTTAGTCACTGTTCAAAGTTACAGCAGCACTGTAAAAAGTGACTTGTGACCATTTTTCACAATTATGACCATTGCAGCATCCCTGTGATCATGTGATCAAAATTCAGATGCTTGGCAACTGGTTCATATTTATGACAAATATGTCATAGTTGCAGTGTCCTGGGGTCATGGGATCCCTTTTGCGACCTTCTCACAAGCAAAGTCAATGGGGAAGCCAGATTCATTTAACCACCATGTCTCTAACAGCTGCAGTGATTCACTTAACAATTGTGGCAAGAAAGGTCGTAAAATGAAGCAAAACAATTGTCTTGCTAAACAATGGAAACTTTGGGCTCAATTGTGGTTGTAACTTGAGGATTACCTGCAGATATTCAGCATGCAGTATGCAGCTTTATGGCACTCCTTTGCCAACCTGGAATCAGTCTGATTCACTGTGTTCCCTCTGTACTATGGTTTCTTGAGCTATATATACATTTCTCAAAAGGACAATGAGATTTTCTGGGAATCCCATTTTACTGACACTTTCCACAGACCAGATTGACACAATTGAAATCTTCTCTATAATTTGCAAAGCACATACTGACATCTTTTTTGGCATTCTTTGGCATTCTTGATTATTCAGCATGTATCAGCAATAATGTCTCCTGTTCCTTAGTTTTTTTCCAAAGGCACCTTGAACTTTTGACATCTCTTTTTCCATGGAAGGCTCTAATCTGCATTGGATAATCCTAAATATTATTTTGCTAGCATGTGAAATTAAAGATGCTATACACCAGTGGTGAAATGTAAAATTTGTTGCTACCGGTTCTGTGGGCGTGGCTTGGTGGGGGAGTGTAATATGACTGAGTGAGCGTGGCCAACTTTGTTTTTTTTTTTTAACTTTTAAAACCATTTTTTCTACAACCTCTTGGGCTGAAGAGGTTGTAAAAAAATGCTTTTAAAGCCGCTGACGATCCCAGCTGACTTGCTTGATTGGCAGAGGCTTTCTTTTTTTAAAAAAAGCCTCTGATGATCCCAGCTGAGCCGCGCGATCATCAGAGGCTTTTTTTTTACTTTTAGAAGCATTTTTTTGGCCAAAGAGGTTGTAGAAAAAATGCTTTTAAAAATAAAAAAAAGAGCCTCTGATGATTGCGCAGCTCAGCTGGGCAATGGGGGGGAGCAGGGATTTTTGCTACCGGTTCTCCAAACCACCCGCATCCATCGCTACCAGATTGGGCGATCCGGTCTGAACCGGGAGCATTTCACCCCTGCTATACACTATTTTGCACATTTTGTTAAATTTCCTTTTTGGTATTGAAATGTAGATTAACCTCTTCCACTCTGTTGCCAATTTGTTCTCCAGATTTGCTGACAGCTTGGTTAGAACTTCGATTTCTTCTTCTTTTACTTGCCCTATTTCTATGAATATTCCTTCAGTTTCTAAAGCAATAACTGGAGTGCTGATCAAACTTCATTTTCTACTACTAGAGATTCTTGTAAATAGGGAATTTCTTCTAAGGAAATTGGATGTTCAAATCTATCTTATGGTGTTTCAATATACTTCCATCTTCCTTTGATCTCGGAATCTTTTACTACCTGAGACCTTCAATCTAAAGGAGGATACTCCTGGAAGAAGAAATCGAACAGGAACAAGTTCATTAAAGACGGAAACACCATACCTATCAAGAAAATGAGATGATAAAGAGGAACTCCTGATCAGAATAAATAAAATAAAAAGAGGCAATTTAGCATTTCACAAAAATTGCAGGGATTTATTGAGAAATAGATAGGGAGAGAGCAGAAACCTTGAGTTCTCTTATTTGGGTTGTAGAAGTATAGATGGGGAGACAGAAGGTAAGGCTGGTTATGGTCTTCTGAAAGTGGATCATAAACAAGGCTGTTCTTTCAGATGCAGGAGCTGTTCACAAGGGAGATCTCAACAGACCTGCAGGAAAGAGAAGATAAATCCAGTCCTTCTCAAGAGCTATTTTTCAGGAGGATCCAACTTGGGCCACCTTGCCAGGTAAGTGTAGGTTTCCTCTGAAAACAATAGAGTTCAAACTTCCTTCATTCATGAGTTGCTTTTTCCGCCCAAATACTGAATTTGTGTGCATTTGAACACACTGTGTTTCCCCCCACCTCTGAATGAGCCAATGAGTCACATACATTCAGCTTTCTAATCATTTTGGAGATACAAACAAGAGACAATTGACTGAAAGGCTTATATTAGGAAATGTAATTTATTTGTTGAAAAATTACTGAAAACCAGTTAAAAAATGAAAACCCTGATTTGAAAGACTTATGAATAGCATAAAAACTGCTTCAGAAATCTATCAGCATATTCACTTAAAAATGAATTGCATGAAGAGCAGATTTCCCATGTAAAAAGTCAGTGCTAAGTGGCTAGAACAGCCAGATTGCTAGTCAAACGACTTGGAATATCCTGGAAATATTTTGAATTAAGCCAGGGAAGAAATTCCAAGTGGATGTGTCCCATTTTCTAACACATTTTGAATACCCCCCCCCCAAGTCAAGTGAGGTCAGATCAGGGAATTCTGCTCCTCCAAACTTCCTTGCTGGGTTATTCTGGGTCACTGGGAGGCTCCCCAATGTGGGCTATGTTGCCATTCTACAGCTTGGATGCACGTAAGCCATAATTTGTGAAGTTAGACAGCAGCCTGACAGAGGAAAGGTTTCCAAGCCCCACAGACTACAGTATGTGTACATACCTCTCCTGTAAGAAGATGTCTGTTTGGTCCCTTACAAAGCTCTGTTTTCCATTTTGTGCAGTAAGAGAAAACCTACAAGGTCTTTCCTAGGATTGAATGGTAAGGAACATTCTCTTTCTAGGACTTTAATTCCTTTGAAGAGGTGGCTGTGGACTTCACAGAGGAGGAATGGGCACTATTGGATCCCAGACAGAGGGCTTTATGCAGTGAAGTCCTGCTGGAGGTTTCTAGGAATATGGCTGCTCTGAGTAAGACTCTTTTCTCTGCATTCCATTCATTGGGGAAGGGTTTCTCAGAGGAAGGTAAACAGAAGATCCCTGCACTCAGTTTCTTAAGATGATCATGATTCTACCTGGCTACCACCTGAATTACTATACTCCCTTCATACGTTTCCTAATCTTATAAAATCAATCAATAACCAGTGCCCCACTAGATCACAAACAAACATAGGCAATTTTGTCCAAGGCCATCATCACATCACTTATTCTAGTGGAGAACAAAGGTCTTGGAAGAAATACCCACAGTAGATAACAATTTGACCCAATATCTCCTAGCGAGACAAATCGCCAAATTTGGAACATGAATAGGCATGCTTTTGAGATGGGTAGACTCCGCTCCTTAACCATTCTAAACTCTAATGGGAACTTCTTTTTCCCAAGCAGGTGATGGGCTGGAGAATGAGAATGACAAGCAGGCGAGATTAATGCCACTCCAAACAACAAAGCACGAAGTAGAAGAAATAATGTTTGACTATGAAGGGGATCCAAAAAGTCAAGAGAGAAGACACTCAGAAGACATGGGGGACAGTTCCCCCACTTCTCTTCCTGTTGAAATTCCTGGCTTCCTGAACCAACAAGGTCAGAAAGGGAAGAAAAAGGGAAAATCCAGCAAAAGGGAGGAAAATAATTTTGATTTGCCCGAGTATAGCAGAAGTCAGTCTAAAAGCTTTATAAATTATGGAAAATACATCAATAATTTCTTCTCTCTTACTTTACTTAAGAAACTGAATAAGAAATACAAATCACATACATTTATAAAAGTTGGTAACAGTTTCAATTTGAGCAGAGATATGAACCTGTGCATGAAGTCTGGAAAGAGCTTCACTATCAACAGTATTTTTAATCACCATCAGAGGATCCACAAAGGGGAGAGAACATATAAATTCATGGAGTATGGAAAAAGCTTTTGTCAGGATAGAATGCTTACGCATCATAAAAGGATCCACACAGGCGAAAGATCATATAAATGCCTAGAGTGTGGAAAGGGATTTACTCGGAAAGGACATCTTACTTGTCATGAAAGGATCCACACAGGAGAAAAACCTTATAAGTGCACTGAGTGTGGAAAAGCCTTCAGAACAAATGGTCATCTGATTCGTCATAACAGGATCCACACAGGGGAGAAAACATATACTTGCAGGGAATGTGGAAAGCGATTCATTGAGAATAGAGATCTTATTACCCATCAAAGGATCCACACAGGGGAGAGTCTATATAAATGCCCTGACTGTGGAAAGAGCTTTACTCAGAAAGGACAGCTTAATTCCCATCAATGGGTTCACACAGGGGAGAAACCTTATAAATGCCCAGAGTGTGGAAAGGGTTTCAGTACAAACTGTAATCTGGCTCGCCACCAAAAGATCCACACAGGGGAAAGACCATATAAATGCCTGGAGTGTGGAAAGAGCTTTTTTGACAATAAAGATCTTACTCGCCACCAAAGGATCCACACAGGAGATAAACCGTATAAATGCCTGGAATGTGGAAAGAGCTTTGCTCAGAAAGGACAACTTAATTCCCATAAAAGAATCCACACTGGTGAGAGACCATATAAATGTATGGAGTGTGGAAAGCAGTTCACTCAGAAAGGAAATCTTACTGATCATGAAAGAATCCACACAGGGGAGAAACCATATAAATGTATCGAATGTGAAAAAAGCTTTGCTAAGAAAGGACAGCTTAATTCTCATAAAAGGATCCACACAGGGGAGAGACCACATAAATGCATGGAATGTGGAAAGAGCTATTTCGATCAGAGAGACCTTACACGCCACCTAAGAACCCACACAGGGAATAACCCATATAAATGCCTAGAATGGGAAAAGACCTTGATTGTCAACAGAGATCTTATTTGCCAACAAAGTATCCACACAAGGGAGAGACCATATAAATCAATTGAGTGTGAAAAAGATTTTAATGACTACAGCATCTTTACATCTCATAAAGAGATCCACACAGGAGAAAATGGAATGTGGAACACGCTTCATTGAAAATTGTGCGCTTAGTTCTTGTAAAAAGTTTCATACAGAAAAAAATCATAAATCCATGGAATGAGCTTCATTTGAAACAGTCGACTTACTCATCAAAGGAGCCAGACATGGGAGGAAACTTCTTATTGTATGCAATGTGCAAAGATCTTTGGTTTGAATCAGAATCTTACCTACCTTCCAAGTATCCCCACAGGAAAATATCTAAGTGCTCGCATGCGGTAAGAGCTGAAAATGAATCAGCGGTCTTACTAGTATGATCATACTGGGGAGTTATGGAAATGTACAGGAGAATGCGTGTATCAGTAAAGTGCACCATTGTCTCACTCATACTTTCAGCACATATTTTATTTGTGAGACATGGAGAACATATTATCTCTTTAAAAGCTGGTTACCTCAGGGCTTGAGTGCTTGATCTGTGGTCAAATGACTGTAGAAAATTGTCATGATAATGAGTTGTGGAAGATGGAACAACAGAAAAACTATATAGCTGAAGGAGGTGAACAGGTATATTTTCTCAATTTCAATCAGAATAGAGCTGGAAGGGACCTTGGAGATCTTCTCGTCCAGCCCCTGCTCAAGCAGCTGATCCTATACCATTTCAGATAGATGACTGTTCAGTCTTTTCTTAAAAACCTCCAGTGATGAAGCACCTATAACTTCTGAAGGCAAGCTGTTCCACTGGTTAATTGCCCTCACTGTTACGAAGGTTTTCCTTAATTCCAAGTTGCTTGTTGATTAGTTTCCATCCATTGTTTCTTGTCTTGCCTTCTGATGCTTTGGAAAATAAATTGACCCCCTCTTCTTTGTGGCAGCCCCACAAATATTGGAATACTGCTATCATGTCACCCTTAGTCTTTCTTTTCTCTAGACTGGCCATACCCAATTCCTGCAACCATTCTTCATATATTTTTGTCTCCAGGCCCTTAATCATCTTAGTTGCTGTTTGCACTTTCTATTTTATTTTATTTTACTAATATTTTATTTTCCCTAAGGAAAGAGGTTCATGCACTTCAGGACTTCTGAGGGGATCTGCCTAAGGTTGAAATGTTAAAATGGAAAATTACTTATATATCCCATTTTAACATTTCAACCCATTCAACTCATGTTTTTATAATCCAAGTGACCTTGTCCAAACAATGATTCCCCCTCTGATTTTACCGTTTTCCAAATTGTGAAATTTGGAAAATGAATTTGTTCCGTGATTTCTCAATGGCATCTGTCTTGGGCAATCAACAGTCCACAAAAAGATTAAGGAATTCAGAAAACTGATGGCTTGTTTGATTTTCTTAATTTACCTAAAAAAATCCTATACAACAGAAATTGCCTACATTTATAACATTTAGAATGCATTTAAATCTGAAGAGTTGTGTTAATTTCCATTAAAGATTTCAGAGACAGGCAGGAACTGTAGATTATGTAAATTGTAGAAAGAACTTGATTATAAACAGTACTCCTACTTGCAAACAAATGCACACAAATGAGAAACCATAGGAATACTGTTAAATTCCAAGAGTACTTACTGCTGAAAGACTTTGCACACAACTAGGAGTCCTCTCAAAATTATGACTTCTATTCAAAGCGCAGGTGGCAGCTTTGGCTAAGAGGACCTTTGAACAGCTTATTGTATTTTGTGCCAATTGTGGCTATTCCTGGATCAGGAGACTCTGCTTACAGTCACTCATGCCCAGATGAACTAATATAATGAGTTCTACACAGAGCTGCCCTTCGGCATCCAGAGGTATCAGCTAATACAAGATATGATGATGTAGGCAGTTATGCAGCATATGTTACACCTCTGCTCCATAAGTTGCATTAGTTGCTGGTTTGATTCTATCCAATTCAAGGTGCTGTTTTTGACCTTTAAAGGCCTTCAGGGTATGAAGCTGGGTTACGTGAGGGACCCCTTCTTCCTGAGTATATCTGCCTATCAGATCTGGCAGATGTGTGTTGTGGATCCTCTCTGTTAAGGATCCTTGTTACATGTGGCAGGACTAAGGAGATGGGCCTTCTCTGCCTTGGCACCCATCCTTGATCTCCTTTTGGAAGTCCCTCAAAACAACATGGCTATGTCAACAGATTTCGGGAATCTCAAAAGACTGTTGAACCAGCAAAGTTGCTGTATTCCTTATAATATTGAATCCTTTTTCCTAGTCTTAATAATAATATTGAACTTTTTAAAATTGTAGAATGTTTGTTATTGTATCAGTGTCATGTTTTGGGAAATGGTCAACTATAATAAATGAGGAATGAAGGAATGAATGATTCACACAGGAGTGAAACCTTATAAATGCATGGAATGTAGAAAAGCTTTCTTTGAAGAATTGCTACATTAAAGCCTCAGAGTTGCTGATGTGTTAAGAAAAGAAAATCCAAACCAGAAGTCAATTATAGTGGGAACTGGAAAATTGAATATAGAAAAGCTCAGTGCAGTAAAAGATGAAACAAAACAAACACTGGAAACCACTTATGGATTATTTGCATAAAAAAATAAATGAGTTTGTGATTTATTGTTTTGATGATTAGATAGATATATGGAAAGAAAAGTGTCATACTGTATCTTGGAGATAAAGGCTACAATATAATTGTATTTACAACCTGTGAAGAATGTTTTTTTATATATTTTTTTTCCTACTCACACTTTGAGCTTTTTCTGTTATTTCTCCCCCTTTTCTGTTCTAAATCAGTTTCTATTATTGCTTTTAAAACTTTTAATAAAAAGTATATTACAAAAACATTTGATATTTTCGACTTTAGCAAATTAAAATGGACTGGAGTTGGACACTTTAAGATAGAAGATCAGAAAGTTTATTACTCAGGACGTGATAGAAGAAGAAATAACATTGTTTTCATAACCAAGAAGGGAATATTATCTCCCACCCCACGTTTGCCTTCTCAGCTTAAAACCACCAAGTGTTGTCAACTTCACTTTCCAAGAGTCGCTGCTGATTAATGGGTTAGTTTTTATTGTTATTGTTTATGTATTTGTATCCTGCCTTTATTATTTTTACAAATAATTCAAGGAGATGAACGCATCCAACAGACCTTTCCCCTCCTATTTATCCGCACAACAACCCTGTGAGGTGGGTTGGGCTGAGAGTGAGTGATTGGTTTTCATGGCTAAGGCAGGATTTGACTTCACGGTTTCCTGCTCTAAGGTTACTCTTCGAGTGTCCTGAGAGTGACATACCATTTTTAATTAACACCTGGAAAATGGCTGGTTAGACAAGTAGCTCTATTTATTTTCCTTTGCAATGCACCATTTGCTGGCAAGGGGCCAGGTCCTACGCTTAAATTCATTGTGGAGAATTTTCACTTCCCCTCCATGGACTTAATAAAGCTTGCACTAATAAGTGGCTTTCTTTGTGCGCTCTCTGCTGTTTGCTAGTTGCATTTTTCTTCTTAAGATTTAGCTACAGAAATCTTGTGATTTCCCTTTGTTATCTTCTGACCATAGTGAACATTTCTACAGAGAGGGGAAGGAGTGTGTGGCTATCACATCAGCTCAAAGGAAAAGCCTTGTTCAGCAGTTGGCATGGCAATTACTCCTCACCACTTCAGCACATCTTTGGGAAGAAGATATTGTAAGCATGGGACTTAATTGATGAACTCTTGTGACTTGTCTCTCTGTTTTCTTTTTTCAATATCTGACCCAGTTCTCATGGCCAGCAATACTGAGTGCCACATTTCAGTCCACCTAGGAGGAAAACCCATTTCTGAATTTTTTTATTGTATAAAAAAATTCTATAATGCCTTGGAAAAGGATCAACTCTGAAGAATCAACTGGCCAGGCACAGCCAAGCAGAAAAGGTGAATAAAAAGTCAAGATTTGCAGAGACTAGAGTGAGAAAACAGAAACTAAACAGGTAAAAGGCAGGTTGCACTCTATAGAAAAAGGAAGCTACCTCCATAAAATCACCATAGGGAAATACAGAGATTCAGGTAAGGGAGGACAAAAAAACTGGCTTAATAGTAAAGCATTTACTTACTTAGTAATAAATGAATAAATTTACTGGCTGGCCCCTGTCCTGAGACTTTCCATTTCTCACATTTCCAGCGCCTTTCCTCAAATCTCCCCCTCTGTACCCCAGAACCACATCTGCATTTCCAAGAGAATTTGAGGAAGAAAGAGAAACCCCAGGTGTCCAAGAAGGTCCGGAAGGAAAGGATGTCTAACTTGCGGATCAATGGGGCAGGACAATGCATTACATTGGTGATGGGCAAAGGATGCTACGGGATCCAGAGAGTAATCTGTAACAGAAGATGCCACCTCACCACATCTATCCCCATCCCAGTTGTGTGCCAGCCTCCTAAACTCATTCCCAGTTCTTGGACAGCACACCCTTGGAGCGCCACCTGGTTCAATACTCTTATATTTCAACATAATTTGCCCCCCTCCCTTGCAAACCAGGTCCACATAAATATCTATAGCAGAATAACAGAGTTGGAAGGGATCTTAGAGGTCTTCCAGTCCAACCCCCTACACAGGCAGGAGACCCTATGCTAGGGGTCTCCAAGCTTGGCCACTTTAAGACTTGTGGACTTCAACTCCCAGAATTCCTCAGCCAGCAAAGCTGGCTGAGGAATTCTGGGAGTTGAAGTCCACAGGTCTTAAAATTGCCAAGCTTGGAGACCCCTGCCCTGCCCTATACCACTTCAGACAAGCGTTTGTCATATCTCTTCTTGAAAAGCTCCAGTGATGGAGTACCTACAACTTGTGAGGGCACACTATTCCACTGACTTATTGTTCTCACTGTCGGGAAATTTCTCCCTAGTTCCAGGTTGCTTTTCTCCTTGAGAAGAGAACACCTTTATTTCTTGTCCCTCCCCCCCCCACAAAAAAATACTTCGCCAACGGACGAGATTGACGTCACAACGTGAGAGAGCATGCGCAGAAGGCGCTAGAAACTAATGCCTGCAATGTATAGGAGAAACGACGCTTTCGCTTTTACTGGAGGAGGGAGGCAGTCAAGGAGAGGAAACATCGATCGCTTACAGCATCTTGCCTCTCTAGGGAGGAGGGCTCTGTGATCCAGGCTCTGTGAGGCCCGGACGGCGCCGGGAATTTTGGCGGGAACGATTTGAAACGGCTCTGCTGAGGCGCAGAAACTCTGAGGAAGCAGAGCACGTATTCTCCCCCCGCGAAACTGGGAAAGGGGCGATCGATGGCGGAGACTCTGCCGTCACTGAAAGAGGGCTTTGGGCGACGCTGAAGCCGGGACCAAATGGAAGCCCAGGGATCTCCGGGGGCGGGAGCAGCAGCAGCCCCCGCTACCCTTCAGACGGAGAGCTGCTGCGGCGGGGAGTCCGGCGGGGGAAGTGGCAGCCCGAGCGGCCTCCCCGAGGAGCCCCGCAGCCCCGAGGCTGAGCGCTGGCGCTTCCGCAGCTGCGTCTCCCGGGAGGCGGAGGGGCCCCGGGCGCTTTGCAGCCGCCTGTACGGGCTGTGCCGGGGGTGGCTGCGGCCCGAGCGGAGCAGCAAAGCCGAGATGCTGGACCTGGTGGTGCTGGAGCAGCTGCTGGCCCTGCTGCCCCCGGAGCTGGCGGGCTGGCTGAAGGAGTGCGCGGTGGAGAGCTGCGCCCAGGCGGTGGCCCTGGCCGAAGGCTGCCTCCTCGGCCCCGCAGCCGCCCCGGAAAAGCTGGCAAAGGGCCGGCAGGTGAGAAAAGTAAACCGTGAGGGATGCATGGGACGCTGATGTGTTTAGCAGCCTCTGTAAGAAATAAGAGACATTCAGAAGAAAGATGTCCGCATTTCTCGGAACTGTTAATATTTTGAGAACTTATTTGTTCTTGAGGCAAATGCTTCGTTTTGCTCTTGGAGAAAAATCCATGGGAGGAAAGAGAAATTCACCCTCAGGGCTGTAAGGAAGTCCAAGAGTTTGAGGAAGGGGGCTAGAATCCTTTTTTCACCCTACCTTTCTGCCCTTTAATGCATGAATGGAGGATTTGTTCCATTTCAACCTATATTCTTCAAACTATTCATTCTCATTAATGACATAGCAAATCTTATTTTAAAGTCTTACTTGCCTGCTCCTCTTCTTTAAAAATAGTCACTGGAAACATCTCTAGAGAACATATGTTGGTATGTTTATATTTGGTTGGAAATATGCGGAAGAGACCTTCATCCTGCAGTGGATAGACAATGGCTAAAATGATGATGATCATGATGGTATAATGTAGTGGTCTGTGGGAATGCTTGATAAGCCAGACTGAACAAACAAACATCATGTAAAATGTTTCTCAGTCCCCACAAAGAGACTGTGTGCATCTCCCTCACAAAACCATCTCGGTGTTCATCCCAAGATCTGTCCCTGAATTGCCAGGTTGATGGTCTTTCCACTGCAAGAGGCATAAGGAAGCCCAAAGAAAAGGAAGGGAAGGTCAATTCCTTGGCACTCAAGAGACAAAACTTTCTAAATCGAAAGGAAAAGATTCCTGGAGGAAGAGATAGAACAGGCATAGGTATATCTACAAAAGAAGAAAGGCCACAGCTATCACGAGAAGGGGAGAAGATAAGCAAATCCTGATCAGAATGAAAGGAGGAAATAAATGAAATACTTCACAAAAATGGCAGATATTTACCCAGAAATAGCAGCTACCTTCAAATCAGAATCTCTGAATTCTCTCTGACTTGTGTTGGGGAATTCCAAAGGTAAGACAAGTGAAGTAACATAAATACAGTCCTTTGAATGTGGATTATAAACCAGGCTTCTTTTTCAGATGCAGGAGCCATTCACAAGAGAGATCTCAGCAGATTTCTGGGAAAGAGGAAATCAACGTACTCATTCTCGGGGGCTGCTTTTCAGGAGGATCCAACTTGGGGCACTACAGCAGGTAATTGTAGGTTTCTTCTGAGAGTGGCAGAATTCAATTCCCTCTGTTCATGAGCTGCTTCTACAGTATAGCCAAATGCTGAGTTTGTAGTTGAACATACTATCCTGCCCAGAATGAGCCTCAAAATGAGCCTTGAAAGCCTGAACTTTCAAGGTAATTTTGGAGATAGAAACAAGAAACAATAACAGCCTGACAGGCTATTAGGCAATGTTATTTGCTTGCTTAATATTTTGTAATACTTCACAAAAGAATGGGGAATCCAGTTAAAAAAATTCATCCCAGAGTTGAAACTTTTAGAATAATATAATAACTGCTACAAAGATATTGTATCTTTAGAACAGATTTTCCAAGAAAAATCCTCAAACTTCACACTAAATGACTGCATCAGTAGCAATAGTATTTAGACTTATATACCACTTCACAGTGCTTTATAGCTCTCTAAGCGGTTTACAGAGTCAGCATATTGCCCCAACAATCTGGGTCCTCATTTTACTGACCTCGGAAGAATGGAAGGCTGAGTCAACCTTCAGCTTGGTGAGATTCGAACTGCCAAATTGCAGGCAGCTGGCAGGCAGCAGAAATAGCCTGCAGTACTGCATTCTAACCACTGTGCTACCACAGCTCTTAGAATGTTCTTCAAGTGCCTTAAGACTTCCAGGCTCATTTCTAACATTTTGAAAGGGAGGAGAAGAAATTCCTAGTGGATGTGTCCTGCTTTGTAAAGAATATAGAATTTGCTCCCAAAGTCAAGCTAGTCAGTGGATTCAGTTCCACAAATCCTTGCTAAATTACTCCAACGCACCAGGAGGCTCCCCAATGGCTGTTGTCATTCAAAAACTTGCAGTCATGCTTTGTGCATTTAGAACACCAGCTATCAATATTAAGGAGGTGGGGGATATGGGGGCTTTACAGCCACAATGACTTTTTTTCCTCCAAGAAAATGCTTATTTTGTTTTTGCAAAGATCTGTTGTGCAGTAAGAGAGAAAATGCACAAATCTTTTCTAGGATTGTTTATTAAAGAACATTCTCATTCTAGGGCTCTGATCCCTTTGAGGAGGTCACTGTGGACTTCACAGAAGAGGAGTGGGTGCTGCTGGATTCAGGCCAGAGAGATTTGTGCAAAGAGGTCTCACTGGAGGCTTTTAGGAATATGTCGGCCCTGGGTAAGGTTCCACTTTGCTCTGGGATCCATTAATTGGGGAAAGTTATTTCTATCATAGGTAAATAGGGAAGATCATTCACTCAAATTTCTTAAGGCGATCTTCTCTACTTAAGGCTTTGTTAGAAATGCTCACCATAGCTTTCAGTAATACCCCCAGATTAGTTTTCAGTTGAAAAAATCCCTTGGATTTTAACAATTAGTTAAATTTGCACCTAACATTTCCAAGCTAGATTCATGGCTGATGGCATACCTGTAATGCAGGTGGGCATACTTTTTAGAACAGAAGATAGTGTTTTGGTGTTTATTCTGACATAATTTTATTAAGGATTACTGTATTTTTTGAATTATAAGACACTCCAGAAAATAAGATGTACATTAGCTTTAGAGGAGGAAAACAAGAAAAAAAAATCTTCCTCTTTCTCCCAGCATCCATCCAGTATTCATCTGGCCAGCATCCTTGCAGCAAACAGCCTGGTCAGGTTGCACCCAGCATCAGTCAACTGAACTGAGCTGCTGCCGCCACTGAGGAACAGAAGCCTTCGCTGCTGAGCAGCTGATAGGCTGTTGGATTGGCCTCCTGGAATACCGCCCATCAGCTGTTCTAGGCAGCAGGGTTCACTCCCACCGATCTCTGCCATTCAGCGGCAGTGATGGGCAGCGAGCACTGGCGGCAATCCCCGCCTCCTAGAACAGCTGATCGGCGGTATTCCGGGAGGCCAATCCAACAGCCTATCAGCTGCTTGGCAGCAAAGGCATTAGCATTCCCCAGCGGTAGCATTTGCCGCTGCTGCACCAACCCCCTCTCCTCTGCCACAACATTTGCTTTATAAGGCGCACAGGCATTTCCACCCACTTTTCGGGGGGTCGGAAAGTGTCTTATAGTTTGAAAAATATGGTATCTTTTGCAGATAAATTACACAAAAGGAATTTAAAAATACATTAAAAAGAAAAAAATATTTACAAAAGAGAAACACCCCTGTAGCGCATGTAATTTCCCCCTTCATCTCCAGCATGTATGTTCAATATTAACAACTCATCGCTGTCTTTTATAATACAACCAAAATACTCTTCATTCCATAATCACCCAATATTCTATAAATCTTCTGATCTTACTAATTAGCAAAGTAGTAAAAAATAAAGCTAATGATATAAGTAGTTACTAATACAGTCCCCATTTCCATTTAGTCTGCCTTCTACATACCTCTTAACAAACTTTGCAAAAAAGGAATTTAAAACTATTAAACATTACCAAATCCCTACCTATTAAACATTTCTACAAGAAACACTATCCATTCCAAACAATTCAACATCAGAAATAACTCATTATTTTTCCAATAATCAGAAAAGGCAATTTTATATATATTTTTTCCTCCCAACCATTCTTCCATCACATATTTCTTTCTATTATCCTTTTCCTTTCTCTTCAAATTCTTATATTTCAAATCCACTTGTAATTTTCCTGAAATGACTCCAAAAATCTCTTACATTTCCATTTAAAACGGTATCATCTAACTGCATTTGTAATTTCAGTGAACTCTTGTGAGTAGTTTCCAGAAGGATTTGTTGATTTTCATTAGTAATGTCTGTTTTCAGTAAAGAGATTAAAAAGGATCAAAAACTTCAAATAAGTAGAAGTCAAATATCCTTTTAAAGTAGCCATCTTGTGCTCTGTTAATAAAACTTCAAGATTTGGCTTTACAATTCATACATAAACGACAGATTTTTCCCATACAGGGTGTTCTTTCTAACTAATTTCATAAATTTTAAATCAGTTTCACAAGGCATTTAAAAGCTTTCCAAAAACAACTCTAAAATAACCTATTGCCTGTATATTGCAATAGATTAGAAAGAATAATTTAGAAAGCTGCAAAGCTATGATATTCTTCTAAAATGGACTGAAGAGAATGCCATCCAACAATTGATAAGGCTGCATTTATGGTTCAGCACATGATGGAGCCCAGAACTTTTAAGCTGATCACAAGCAGCTGCAGAAATAAAAAGTTTTTCTGTTTGCTTAACAAAAATCAGATGTATAAAGTATATGTGGACAATTTCCAGTTCTTTCTTCTAGAAAAAAAAACAGCTATCCAAACCTGACATCCACCGGCTAAATCCCCTACAGAAAAATGGGGGTGTTGGTCCTCCTCACCACACAAGATGTTATCTCCCCCTCCCTAACAGTTTTAAATTTCAACAGGAATTTCTATTTTTTTCTTCCAAGCAGATGATGGAATGGAGAATGAGAATAAGGAGCAGGGAAGGTTAATACCACTGCAAACAACAAGCTATGAAGTAGAAATGATGTTTGACCATCAAGCAAATTCAAAAAGACAAGAGAGAAGCCACTCAGAAGGTAGGGGACAGGAATCCTCGATACCTCATCATTCCTTTTCTGTTACTTTACCTGAGAAACTTCAGATGAAATACAAGCCACATATCATTGTAAAGTCGGGGAAGGATTCCAGTCTGAACAAAGAGACTAAAACATACAGAAAATGTGGAAAGAGCTTCAGAAGGGTGGCTACTCTTAATGAATATGAAAGGATCCAAAGAGCAGAAAAATTATATAGTTGTGAGGAATGTGGAAAGGGGTTTGTTTTAATAGGAAAGCTTAACTTTCATAAAAAGTTTCACACAGATGAGAAACTATATAAATGCAAACAACGTGGAAAGAACTGTTTCAGGAGAATTCTTCGTTTCTACGGGAGGATCCGCAGAAGGAAGAAAAAACATAGCTGCAGGGAGTGCGGAAAGCAATTCTTTGAGAACACTACTCTTACCATCCATCAAAGGAGTCACACAGGGGAAAGACCATATAAATGCCTGGAGTGTGGAAAGAACTTCATTTCAAATGGAAATCTTAGTTCTCATAAAAGAATCCACATAGGGGAGAGATCGTTTAAGTGCATGGAGTGTGGAAAGCAGTTTATTCGGAAAGGATATCTTACTGATCATGAAATGGTTCACACAGGAGTGAAACCATATAAATGCACAGAGTGTGGAAAGAACTTTCGTTTCAAGCGTAATCTTAAGCGCCATGAGAGGATCCATAGAGGGGAGAAACAACATAGCTGTGTGAAGTGTGGAAAAAGTTTCACTGAAAAAAGTTATCTTTCTGATCATGAAAGGGTTCACACAGGAGTAAAACCATATAAATGCACAGAGTGTGGAAAGAACTACCGTTTCAGATGCAATCTTAATCGCCATGAGATGATCCATAGAAGGGAGAAACAACATAGTTGCATGGAGTGTGGAAAAGGATTCTATGAGTGGACAGACCTTACTATCCATCAAAGGATCCACACAAGGAAGGAACTGTATAGTTGTGAGGAATGTGGAAAGACCTTTGTTTTAATAGAAGAACTTAATTTTCATAAAAGGAGTCACACAGCTGAGAAAGTAAATGGTTGCATAGAGAGTGAAAGGAGTTTCAATTTCTGGAATAGTCTTGATAACCATGAGAGGATCCACAGAAGGGAGAAAAAATATAGCTGCAGGGAGTGTGGAAAGAGATTCTTTGAGAACACAGCTCTTATCCTCCATCAAAGGAGTCACACAGGGGAGAAACCATATAAATGCCTGGAGTGTGGAAAGAGCTTTATTTCAAATGGAAATCTTAATTCTCATAAAAGAATCCACACGGGAGAGAGACCGTTTAAGTGCATGGAATGTGGAAAGCAGTTTATTCGGAAAGGATATCTTACTGATCATGAAATGGTTCACACAGGAGTGAAACCATATAAATGCACAGAGTGTGGAAAGAACTTTCGTTTCAAGCGTAATCTTAAGCGCCATGAGAGGATCCATAGAGGGGAGAAACAACATAGCTGCATGGAGTCTGAAAAATGTTTCACTCAGAAAAAAGATCTTATTGATCATGAAATGGTTCACACAGGAGTAAAACCATATAAATGCACAGAGTGTGGAAAGAACTACAGTTTCAGATGCAATCTTAATTTCCATGAGATGATCCATAGAAGGGAGAAACAACATAGTTGCATGGAATGTGGAAAAGAATTCTATGAGTGGACAGACCTTACTATCCATCAAAGGATCCACACAAGGAAGGAACTGTATAGTTGTGAGGAATGTGGAAAGACCTTTGTTTTAATAGAAGAACTTAATTTTCATAAAAGGGGTCACACAGCTGAGAAAGTAAATGGTTGCATAGAGAGTGAAAGTTTCAATTTCAGGAATAGTCTTGATAACCATGAGAGGATCCACAGAAGAGAGAAAAAACATAGCTGCAGGGAGTGTGGAAAGAGATTCTTTGAAAACAGAGAGCTTACTATCCATCAAAGGAGTCACACAGGGGAGAGACCATATAAATGCCTGGAGTGTGGGAAGAGCTTTATTTCAAAAGGAAATCTTAATTCTCATAAAAGAATCCATACAGGGGAGAGACCATTTAAGTGCATGGAGTGTGGAAAGCAGTTTGTTCGGAAAACACATCTTTCTGATCATGAAAGAGTTCACACAGGAGTGAAACCATATGAATGCACAGGGTGTGGAAAGACCTTCCGTTTCAGGGGTAATCTTAATAATCATGAGAGGATCCACAGAGGGGAGAAACAACATAACTGAATGGTGTGTGGAAAAGGATATGAGAGGAGAGACATTACTATGCATCAAAGGATACACACGGGAGAGCTCCTATAAATGCTCTGTGTGTAGAACAAGCTTCCATTTCAAAAGTTCTCTTAGTTCCCATGAGAGGATGCAGACTCCTACAGGGAGTCTGGAAAAGGATTCTGTGAGAGGAGAGACCTTATTATATCCATTGAAGGATCCATAGAGTAGAAAGACCGTAAAAATGGAAAGAGTATGGAAAGGGCTTCAATACAGACTTTCATGTGGCTCAACACGAGATCCACACAAGGAATAAACTGGAACATGGAAAGAACTTTACTTAGGTGTCAACTTTGAAATGGATCAAACCATTTTCTCAGTTTCTCAGCTTGACACACTTTGGGGGAAGGAAGGAGATTTGGAATGACCACACAACAACTTACTATCTTGTGGGAACCAAGGTTATCCTAACAGGTGCTAGCCAGAGACTGGAAGGTTTCCAAGGAGATGCTAGAACACCTAATTGGACAATGTTACCTGTGACAAGGGAGGGAGCTATATAATTTTTAATTACTGAAAGTGTGGGAAATAGCCAGAGCTGGTTTGTTTTTCAACTGCCGAAATGATGCATTCAATAAACCAGTTCTTTGAGAAAGCTGAAAGTCTTAAGACTTGAGTTGCCAGATTGGGTGGGTTCATTACTTGAAACCTTGACATCCAGAAGGACAAAGTAAGTCTCTTAAAAGAATCTATACAATTAGTCCCCTGCTTACAAGTGTTTATTTAGTGAATGTTCAATGTTCAAGGAGCCTGGATAGCTCTGCAGACAAGGCACTGTAATTTAACACTAGCTGTCTGCAATTAAAGTAAGTTTGAATCTTGCCAGGCTCAAGGTTGATTCAGCCTTCCATCCTTTCTAAGGTAGATAAATTGAGGACCCAGTTTGTGGGGGCAATAAGCTGACTTTGTATAAAATATACCAAAGTATGAAGGCTATTGCTTAACGCACTGTAAGCCGCCCTGAGTCTCCGGAGAAGGGCAGCATATAAATCAATTTTTTAATTTTTTTTTTTAAATGTTACAGTGAAAAAAATGAAATAAAATGAAAAACGTGACTTAGACTAGTTCTCATACTTATAAGTGTTGCAGCATCCCCATGATCATGTAATCAAAATTTGGGCACTTGCCAACTGGCATGTATGGTATTTATGATTGTAGCGCTCTGGGTTCAGGTGATCTCCATTTGTAAACTTTCAACAGTCGATGGGTAAGGGAGAGTCACTTAATTATATGTTTCAAAACTAGTGATTCACTTAACAACTGTGGCATAAATGTTTGCAAACTGGGATGTGACTGACTTAACTTGCTTAGCAAGGGAAATGTTGGCTGAATTGTCGTAAATTGAGAACTACCTGTATTACTGTCCTTCCTGATGAAATATCAAAAGAATTGATTCCATTAAAAGATTTTGTTGGCTGAAGGGAGCTGTTTGTTCCCCATGAGCAAATTAATGTCAAGCCTTTACATCTAAGCATTTAGCTAGGGAATTTGAATCAGGATAAGGGATGGTCTGCATTTTCTGTGCTCTATGTACTGATTGGCAAGTAAATCACATTATTGTATTTGATTTCATTGTTATGCAGAAATATTCCAATGCCCCAATTTATATTCAGATGACATTAATTTCCCAAACGTGTAGTTTCTACTGCACTAGTTTTAATTCAGATAATTAGGAAATATTTGGAGATGTTAAAATACAGGGTTCGGAGGGCAAATAGTTGAACATATCAGCATTAGCAATTTATAACATGACTTGGCCTTGACATATAACACTGTATGCAGAAGACTAGCTCAAAGTTTGTGGCAGTCATACTTTTTAACCTTTACCAAAATCCTGAAAATGAATTTGCACTGTTTCTTGGCTGTGGATAACAGAGATTCATCTGGTCTCACCATAAGAAATTAAATTATCAAGTTAAATATTCTTTCAAGTATAATTATAAAACAAGGAGAATGGTTGGTTCTGGCATGCAAATATACAGTAAATTATAAGACATTCATAATTTTGCTGCTAACATCCTTATTTATAAATGACACCTTAAAGAGCCATAAGCTGCTTTGGGTAAAATCTTTTCTCTGAAAATATAATATTGCAAAATAAGCTGTCATTAGATAATTTATTAGTAGAGCATATGCAGTCTGCACATACATTAATGAACGCTTTCTGGAATTTTCATGAAGGCTGAATTTCATAAATTAGAAGAGTTATCTCCTCAAGTACGGATGGAATATTTTCAAGAAACTTTACTTGTCATTATTATTACATTTGTATTCCTTACACTTTGATGTTGTCTTTATGCAATGTATTCAATCTGATTAGTTAGAAAAGCAGTTGGATTTACTTTCCTTTGTGGTGCATCTCTTAGTTTCAACAGCAAACTCACAAGTACCTTGCCTTGGCCTTGTTTTGGTCTTTTGGTCTCCTTTTTAGATTGTTGATTGTCACATTGCAACTTAACCTGGAAGGGAGGTGTAACAGTTAGCTACAAACCCTGGCGCTAACTGCTTACACCTCCCTTGCAGGTTAAGTTGCATATGACAATCAACAATCTAAAAAGGGGACAAAAAGACCAAGGCATCTCACCTAGATCAGCATAGATTTACTCCGAAATTGTTTACAATTTTGTAAACAACAAGCCAATAGAAGAATGACAAAAAAGCTAAAAATAAGCAGCCCCAATCGATGAACCCCCCAGACAACTCCCAGCACACTGACGAGGGAAAGCCACTAGACTAGAATATAAACTGAGCAAACCCCATTTCTTAAGTAACGCTAATGATGTTACCAAGGATCGGTAATGAAACACCTGCAAGATCACCAAGTTCGGAGAGAAGGAAGGGCTGCTTTGTTCAGGCAATTTTTTATGGTACTAAGGGACCCGAGCATGCGCATAAGACTTGACAAAAAATCCCTAGGTTGCAGGGAAAAAGGTTTGAGTGCGCTGGGAGGGAGCGCGCTCTGTGGTCCAGGCTCTGGGAGGCCGGGGGAACCTCTGCGGGAAGCGACTTGCAGCTGCTCTTCTCAGCCTCAGAAGCCCTGAGGGAGCGGAGCCCCCCTTCTCTTCTCCCCCCCCCGAAACCGGGAAAGGGTCGGGGGGATCGGCAGGTGACCGAAGGCGGCCTCGGAAGGAGTTTCCCCCCCGTTCGGACTGCGCTGAAACCGGAGACCGAATGGAAACCCGGGGGTCTCTGCGGGCGGGAGCAGCAGCGGTCCTTCAGGCGGGGAGCGGCTGCGGCGGGGAGTCCGGCGAGGAACCCCGCAGCCCCGAGGCTGAGCGCTGGCGCTTCCGCAGCTGCGTCTCCCGGGAAGCCGAGGGGCCCCGGGCGCTTTGCAGCCGCCTGCACGGGCTGTGCCGGGGGTGGCTGCGGCCCGAGCGGAGCAGCAAAGCCGAGATGCTGGACCTGGTGGTGCTGGAGCAGCTGCTGCCCCCGGAGCTGGCGGGCTGGCTGAGGGAGTGCGGGGCGGAGAGCTGCGCCCAGGCGGTGGCCCTATGCTGGCTGGAGAATTCTGGGACTTGAAGTCCACAAGTCTTAAGGCTGCCAAGTTTGGGGACCTCTGCTTTAATGCATGAATGAAGATTTGTTCCATTTCAGCCTATATTCTTCAAACTACTCATTCTCATTAATGACATAGCAAATCTCACTTTAAAGTCTTACTTGCCTGGTTGTCTTATTTATAAACAGTCACTGGGAACATATATCTAGGGAACATATGTTGGTATGGTGTAAAGAATCTGTGTGAATGGCCTTAGGATAATGGGTGAAAAGCCAGACTGGATAATCATTGTGTAACGGGTATCTCAGTTCCCATAAGGGGAACATCACCATCTTCAGTATTCATCCCAAGGTCTGTACCTGAATTGCCAGGCTGATGGCTTCCGCACTGCAAGAGGCATGGGGAAGCCAAAACAAATAGAAGGGAAGATTGAAGGGAAGATTCCCATTCAAATTACAGGTTGTTAAATCTAAAGGAAAAGATTCCTGGAGGAAGTAATAGAACAGGCATAGCTACATCTGCAAAGGAGGAAAGGCCACAACTATTGAAACAGGGAGAAGATAAGCAAGTCCTGATCACAATGAAAAGAGGAAATAGAGGCAATGAAGCATTTCATAAAAATGGCAGACTATTTACCCCAAAATAGCATCTACCTTCAAATAAGATTCACTGACTTGTCTTTGACTTGGGTTGAGGAATTCCAAAGATAAGGCATGAGAAGTAACATGGTTACACAGTCCTTTGAGTGGATAATAAACTACACTTCTCTTCCAGATGCAGGAGCTGTTCACAGGAGAGATCTCAGCAGAGCTCCAAGAAAGAGGAAATCAATGCAATCCTTCTCAAGAGTTGCTTTTCAGGAGGATCCAACTTGGGGCACTACAGCAGGTAACTGGTTTCTTCTGAGAGCAGCAGAGTTTAAACTCCCTCTTTTCATGAGCTGCTTTTGCAGTGTAGTCAGATGCTGAGTCTATGTGTAGTTGAACACAGTGTTGCCCCTTCCCCGAATTTGCCTCATTCATTCAAGATAATTTTGGAGATAAAACAAGAGAAAATTCACAGCCTGAGCGGCTTTGTATTGGCAATATAATTCATTTAATACATCTTAATACTTCACAGAGGACTGTGAGAAGCCATTTTTTAAAAAATAATTGCATGAATTGAAACTATTGGAATTTCATAACTGCTTCAGAAATATTTTGCCTTTAGGACAGATTTTTCCATGAAAAAGCCTCAAATTCAACACTAAATGACTGTATCTGTAAGAATGTTTTTCAAGTGCCTTCAGATTTTAAGGATTATTTCTAACATTTTGAAATAAGGTAGAGAAGAAATTCCTACGGTAGTAGTTGTGTCCTGTTTTGTAAAGAATGTAGACTTTTCTCCTGAAGTCAATGATCCAGTGGCTTCTGTTCCCCAAATCCTTGCTGACTTATTCCAACCCAGCATGAGGCTCTCCAAGGAGTGCTGTTGCCATTCAAACACATCTTTAGTGCGCTTAGAGCATCAGTTAGCAGTTTCTTTCCTATAAGACTGCTCATTATGTTTCTTGCAAAGTTGTTTTGTGCACTAAGAGAGAAAAATGCACAAGTCTTTTCTGGGATTGTCTATTAAAGAACATTCTCATTCTAGGGCTCTGATCCCTTTGAGGAGATCACTGTGGATTTTACAGAAGAGGAGTGGGAACTGCTGGATTCTGGCCAGAGAACCTTGTGTAGAGAAGTCACATTGGATGCTTTTAGGAATATGTCTGCCCTGGGTAAGGCCCGACTGTGCTCTAGGTTCCATTAATTGGGGAATGTTTTTCCAGTGAGGTAAACAGGAAAGTTACTTGCAGTCAGGTTGCTTAAGGTGATCGTCTCTCCTTAAAATCTTGTTAGAAATGCTCATGTTAGATTTGGGAAATGCCCCAGATTGTCCAATCAACAGCAAAGTCTAAATGTGATTCCCAGCTGAAAAATCTCTTGGATATCATCAGAATTTTCTAGCTAATAATTTTCATCCATCTCCGAGCTAAATTCATGGCTGATGCCATATACCCAATGCAGTTGGGTATGTTTTCCAGAGGAGAAGCCCCTTCCTTAACAGCTGGGTTTTTTCACATAATTTGATTAAGGATTATCCTCAAAAGATAAAAACATGTACAAACGCAATACAAAATATATGAAAAGGAAAGAAATTTAGATAATGCAGAAACACCCTCTTATGGGTCTGTGTATGTGTATGTTTATGAAAGAAATTTCCACTTGTATCTCCCACATGTATGTTCAACATTAAAACTCATCACTGTCTTTTAAAATACAACCAAAATACCTCTTCATTCCATATGTCACCCACTATTCTATAAACTATAAAGCCTACATTTACGGTTCAGAGCATGATGGAACCCACAACTTTTATCTGATTGCAAGTGATTGCAGAAATGACAGGTTTTGCTGACTGCTTAAAATAATCGGCTGTGTAAAGTACATAAGGACAATCTCCAGTTCTTTCTTCTAGAAAAAAAAAAAAAAAACAGTTCAAGCCTGACATCCACCTGCCAATTTTGGCAAAATCCCCTACAGGAAAAATGGGTGTGTCGGTTCTCCTCCACCTACAAGATGTTATCTCCCCTTCCCTCACAGTTTTAAATTTTCTTTTTTCCATGCAGGTGATCTGATGGAAAAGGAGAAGCAGGGGAGATCAATGCTGCTGCATACATTAAACTATGAAGTAGAAGTGATGTTTGACCATCAAGGGAATCCAGAAACACAAGAAAGAAGCCACTCAGAAGGTGGAGAGGAAAAGATCTCCACATCTCATTCCTTTTCTCTTACTTTACCTAAGAACCTTTTCTGGAAACACAAACCACATACCATTGTAAAATTGGGGAAGGTTTCCGGTCTGAACAGAAAGGCTAAAATATGCACAAAGTATGGAAATAACTTTAGTAGTAAGACTAGTCTTAACGGCCATCAAAGGATCCACACAGGAGAGAGAATTTACAAACGCCTGGATTATGGAAAGAGGTTTTTTGACAATAAAGTCCTTACTCATCATCAATGGATTCATACAGGGGATAAACCGTATAAATGCTTGGAATGTGGAAAAAGCTTCCATTTAAGGAGTAGTATTAATCGCCATGAGAGGATCCACAGAGGGGAGAAAAAATATAGGTACAACAAGTGTGGGAAGAGATTCTTTGAGAATAGATCTTTTATTATCCATAAAAGGATCCACATTGGGGAGAGACCGTATAAATGTCTGGAGTGTGGAAAGAGCTTTTTTGACAACAAGGTTCTTACTCGTCACCAATGGATTCACACACGGGATAAACCATATAAATGCTTTGAGTGTGGAAAGAGTTTTATTCACAAAGGACAACTTAATTCTCATAAAAGGGTGCACACGGGAGAAACCGTATAAATGCAGTGTGTGGAAAGAGCTTCCGCTTGAAAAGTTATCTGAACTACCGCAGAATCCACAGAGGGGAGAATCCACAGAGGGGAGAAAAAACATTCCTGCAGCGAGTGTGGAAGGAGATTCTTAGAAAAAAGAAATCTTACTATCCATCAAAGGATCCACACACGGATATATTCAGAAAGAATATCTTACTATTCATGAAAGAATCCATACAGGAGAGAAACCATATAAATGCACAGAGTGTGGAAAAAACTTTCGTAGCAAGCGTAGTCTTAATTGCCATCAAAGGAGCCACATGGCTGAGAAACCATATAGTTGTGAGGAATGTGGAAAGGCCTTTGATTTAATAGGAAAACTTAATTCTCATAAAAGGATTCACACAGGAGAAAAACCCTATAAATGCACAGAGTGTGGAAAGAGCTTTACTCAGAAACGACTACTTAATTCTCATCAAAGGCTCCACTCAGGAGAGGGACTGTATAAATGCACAGAGTGTGGAAAGAGCTTCAGTACACACTCTTATATGGCTCGACATTTAATGATTCACACAGGAGATAAAACATATAAATGCCTGGAGTGTGGAAAGAGCTTTATTCAGAAAGGACAACTTAATTCTCTTTTTTTTTTTTTTTTTTATTTACACTTTATTGATTTTTTAAGACAGATTGAATATAATAACAACTTTGTTTGACATCGGATTTGCAGTGTTTATACATATATACATGAAAGAAATATCTGGTGTCTTTTATACTATACATTTCTAATTAATTTCTGCACCTTTAAACTCCTTCCTTAATTCTATCATTTATCCATTCGTACCATCTTCCCCACACAGTATCGTAATCTGAATTTTCATCATCACTTATTTCGTGCGTTAATTTACTTGTCTCTGCACACTCTAATATTTTGCTAATTATAAGGTCATCTGGTGGTAGGTCTTTCTTTTTCCAGTATTGAGCATATGCCAGTCTGGCAGCTGTAGTAATATGTATTAGGAGGTGGACCTTTTCCTTTCCATGCCCTTTACCATTCCCAGGAGAAATATTTCTGGAGTCAAGTCAATTTCTTCTTTGAGTATGTCTTTCAACCATCTCCGAATTTTGCTCCAGTATCTTTTTGCTTCGGGGCATGTCCACCACATGTGAAAGAAGGTGCCCTGCCCATGACCGCATTTCCAACAATTTGGGTGCACATTGGGAAACATCTTTGATAATCTTGCAGGGGCTAAATGCCACCTATGGAGCATTTTATAATGATTTTCCTTATACGTGGCTGCTCTAGTTAATTTATAATTTTTATTCCACGCCTCTTCCCATTCATTAGAGTTCAAACTATGCCCAATGTTTCTCTCCCATGCTCTCAATTGGTTTCTAATTGTATCCTCATTTCTATCTTCATCCAGTAAATAATTATATAGCTTGGCCAGCGCTTTTTTCCCTGGTCCCATCAAGATTTTGTCCAATCCGTTATATCTCAATTCTATGCCAAATTCATCTTTATCTTTCTGGTATCTTGATTTTATTTGCAGGTAAGTCCACCAATCTAAAGTTATGCCTTGGTCTTTCAGAGCATCATTTGATTTGAGGTTTCCCCCTCCGTCAATGATATCTTTATATCTGCACAGTTTCTCCATTCCCCACCTGTTGGGGTAAATCAATGCCTCTACCGTAGAGAGCCAATTTGGAACTTTTGTATAGTGTCTCTGCCTGATCCCCGCCCACATTTGTATTAAGGAGTCCCTAATTTTATGCCTGTGGAAATAGGTTTTCTTTTTCTTGTCTTTGTCCCATAAGTATGAATGCCACCCTCTCTGTAAATCGTGGCCTTCTAGCATTAGGATTCTCTTGTTCTCTAAGGTGATCCATTCCCTTATCCAAATCAACTTTGCTGCTCTGTAATACATTTCCCAATTCGGGAGACCAAATCCTCCCACGTTCCTTTTTTCCTGTAGAATTTTGAGTGAGATCCTCGATTTTTTTCCCTCCCAAACGAATTCCCTAATAATCTTATTTAATTCTAGGAAAAAATTTTTCTCTAAAATCACTGGTAGATTTTGATATAAAAATAGGATCTTGGGGAGGATGTTCATCTTAATTGCCGCAATTTTGCCTATAAGTGACAATTTAATCTTTTTCCATCTATCCAAATCTTGTTTTAATTTTTTAATTAGTGGGGTATAATTATCGTCTCTTAGAGATGAGCACCTTTTGGTTAGCCAAATTCCTAGATATTTTATTTTTGGGACAACCTTTAGGCCCAAAGTTCCTTCTATCTCGTTCTTCTGCGCTTCCGTTGTATTCTTAGTTAATATTTTGGTTTTAGATTTGTTCAGTTTAAAGCCAGCCACCTCTCCATATTTACTCAATTCCTCTAGTACTTTTTGTCCTGATGTTAATGGGTCTTCTAGTATTAGTGCCACGTCATCCGCAAAGGCTTGTGTTTTATAGGTCTCATTTCTAATTTTTAGGCCTTTAATTTCCTTGTTATTTCTAATCTTACGTAGCAGAACTTCTAGAGCCAAAATGAATAACAGCGGTGACAAGGGGCAGCCCTGCCTTACTCCCTTTCTGATTTGGAATGTTCTTGTCCTGTCTCCATTAACTAAGATGCTCGCCCTCTGATTGTCATAAATGGTCTTTATCATCTTTTCGAAGTTTTGCCCGAATCCCATTATTTTAATTTGTTTGGTCATAAAATTCCAATTTAAATTGTCGAATGCCTTTTGGGCATCCAAGAAAACTAAGGCCAACTGCTTTTCTGGGTGTTCTTCATAGTATTCTAGAATGTCTAATACAATTCTCAAATTGTCCCTAATTTGTCGCCCCGGAAGAAATCCATTTTGGTCTTTATGAATCCAATTATTTAATATTTTTTTGGTTCTTTCTGCCATTATACACATGAATAATTTGTAATCAGTGTTTAGGAGCGAAATCGGTCTGTAATTTTGGATTTTTTGGGAATCGGCACCTTCTTTCGGCAGGAGTGTGACATGTGCTTCCCTCCATGAATCAGGAATTTTTGAGCCCGTCAAAACCTCATTAAAGATTTCCATTAGTTTGGGTTGTAAAATTTCTTCCAATTTTTTGTATATTTCTCCCGGGAATCCATCCGGGCCTGGTGATTTGTTGTTTTTGAGTTTGGAGAGGGCTTTTTTAAATTCTTCAATTGTTATCTTCGCGTTTAACATCTCCTTCTCTTCCTCCGTTATTTTTGGGAGCTCCGCGTTTGCCAAGTATTGGTCTATTTTTTCTTCCGAGGCCTCCTCTTCTTTATACAAGGATTCATAGTACTCTCTCGCTCTTTCCAATTTATCTTCTTCTTTATTTAGAGGGTTTCCCTTAGCATCTTCTAGTATCTGAATTGTCGCTTTTTCCTTTTCCTTTTTTAATTTATATGCCAGCCACCTGCCCGATTTGTTGGCATTCTCAAAATAGTACTGCTTTGTTCTTTTTATGTTTTGGGCTAGCTCCTCTTGCTCTAGGATGTTTAATTTATGTCTCCACACCAGCCAATTTTCTTTTGCTACAGTATCTCCGGGTGTTTTTTGGAGTTTCCTTTCTGCTTCATCTAAATGCTTAATAAGATCTTCCCGGGATTTCCTTTTTAATTTATTTTTATATGCAGTGTATGATATTATTACCCCTCTTAGATAGGCCTTCATTGTGTCCCATACTATTTCACGGGGTGTCCCTTGATTCTCATTTTCCATAAAAAAGGTCTTTATTTCTCCTTTCAATTTTTCTACACACTCTTTGTCGCCGAGTAAATTTGTGTTGAGCCTCCATCTCTGTTGTTTCTTTCTCTTTGTGATTCTCCATTTTATTTCTAGGGGGTTGTGGTCAGCCCAAATATTTGGGCTAATTTCTGCTGTCTCTATTTTTAATCCCAACGACCTGGTGACCCAAGCCATGTCTATTCTCGACCATGATTTTTGCGGATTAGAATAGAATGTATACTGTCTTTCACTTGGATGCAAGGTTCGCCATATATCAATTAAACTCATTTCCTCCACCAAATCGAAAAAAGCTTTTGGTAAGGTCGCCCTTTTATTTTTGTTCATTTTATTACTTTTATAGTCATTGTCTGGGTCTATGATTCCGTTGAAATCTCCTATCATACAAAGTTCATTGTATTCCATTTTCCCTATTTGTTCGCGAAGCTTTTGGAAATATTCTCCTTGTTTTTTATTTGGGGCGTAAATGCCCACAAGTAATATTTTAATGTTTTCTCTCGTAATTTCGACCATGAGGGTTCTTCCCTTTGTGTCATTATATTTCAATTCTGCTTCAATTCCTTTTTTAACATAGATTACTACCCCTCTCTTCCTTTTTTCAGCTAATGAGGTAAATAGTTTACCATATTTCTTAAACTCCAAACGTTTACCCTCATCCTTTTTTATGTGGACCTCCTGTAAACAGATTATATCCATATTTTGTTTTGCTAATTTTGTAAGTGTTAATTTCCTCTTTTTACTATCGTTTAATCCATTAACGTTTACTGAAATTAATTTCAAGTCATTCATTCTTGTTTTCCTTGCTCGGTCTTAGTTCTTATTTAGTCTTACGGCTCTTACTGGTCTTATTATTTTTTTTTCCTTGGCTTCTTCTTCGGTCTTTTTCTCCTCCGCGGTTCCTTCCTCTTCTAAATTTGTCACCTCTACTTCCTCCTTACTGTTCTGTTCTTCTTCTGCACCCCTTAACTGATCAAGGAAGTCTTGTGCTGTGCTCAAGCTATCAATTTTTATTTTTCTCCCCTGCCAGGTGATTAACATCCCCTCCGGTAAGAGCCATCTAAATAATATATTTCTTTTGTTCAATTGCACAGCCAAAAATCTGTAATCCTTTCTCACCTCCCTCACTCTTCTTGGGATCTGTTTTAATATTATCACTTCTTTTCCTCTGTAAGTTATTTGTCCGTCTCTCGCCATACTGTATAGGTTGTCTTTTACTTTCTTTCTCGCGAACCTGATGTGGACTTCTCTGGGGAGCCTATTCCTCCTCGCGTAGTTTGTTTGGACTCTATAGACGTCGTCCAATTCTCTGATGATCTCACATTTATCTTGTTGAAGTACTTCTGCGATTAGTTCCGCCATCTTCTCTCCCAGATCCTCGTCTTTATCTTCTTCCACATTTTGAAAACGCAGGTAAAACGACGCCCTGTCCATCTCTAATTGTATTAACGAATCTTCTAATTCCTTATTTTGCATCGTCAGTGTCTGGTCTACCATGTCCAGCTTCTTCTCATTTAGTTCTATTTTTTGCTCCGCCTTCTGGATTCTTTGTTCATTGTTAGAAATTGAGACTTGGATCTCATTCATCTTCTGGTCCAGTAGGTGGATATCTGTTTTCAGTTCGGTGTGATTGCTGGACATTTTTTCCTGCATGGCCATCATCGTTTCTTGAATTAATGTCAATGTTGACTGCACTGTTAATAATGTTGGTGTTGCTATGGCCTTATCCGTTTTTGGTAATCCTTCCATTGGCTTTTGGGTAGCCGGGGAGGTCATGGATATAGTGGGATTTGAAGGGGTCTTTTTCCCTGTTTTCAGAATTGTTGATGACATGCTCGTCAT